ACACTTGACTCGCCTAGCGCCTACCTAGGTCCTTATGCAATTGATGTAGAATAACTCTCGCAATCACAATCGTTCTGTGGTAGTGGTTCGTCGTAAAAATATTATTATCTACCAGTTTGGTTTCTTTACTAAACTATTAGTCGATCTACCGGTTAGATCGGAATGAATGATCAGATTCAGAGTCTGTGTAAGTAGAACGACAACACTGCAAGTCTGCATGTCTAGTCTTCACAAGACACAGTCGTGGCATGTAGTGTCTTTGCTGAGCTTCGAGCAGACCTAGCCTCCACTCGACTCGAGTGCTCGTAGACTAACTCAGTAACCTGGTAACTGTGACATGTCTGGTCGGTGATACATCATACATGTGGGCGTGAGCGTGCAAGACAAAACTACTTCATCGGCTTCAGAAGTTCAGTACCTGCTACCCCGTAGGCTTAGTGCTACTTCTACTACTCACTACTCAGTCTCTACTCTAGCTAGCTAGCTCTGGTCTTGACTTGAGTCGGTCTGATCATGTTGACATGTCGACATAAGAATAGACTGTTGATAACGGAGAAGTCAGCTGATGCGCTTGTACCACTAACGAGTGTGTTTTTTGAAGACAAAGACGACGACAAACATGCAACAGCTATCTGGTTACCAGTGGTTACATGACCTCGTCAAAACAGATCCCGTTGCCATGGTCCCGCTGCCGATGATGATCTATCTGCCTACACAGTACACAGACTGCACTACACTCTACAGCCTACTACTACTAGTACTACCAAGAGTACATAACCCCTGGTTATGTACTCTTGCCGTCTTGGTACTACTTTGGCGGTGTTTACATGAGGCGTTTCAACCCGGGTTGAGTTCGACCCGGGTCAGATTTCAACCCGCCATCTGCATAAAATGAATGGCGCGTTTACATGACGCATTGCGCTTGACCCGGGTTGAAATTTCGCCCCGGGTTGATTTCAACCCTCCCCCCAAGGGGAGGGTTGAAATCAACCCGGGTCAAGAAAATCGTACAAACGTACTTCTGTGCGTATCTCGCGCCAGGTTTGAACGGCACTGCAGATGCAAATTTCGCGCGAACGGATTCACGTGACCATACAGGACTGTAGAAGTGGACTTTTGGCGGCATATCAGTATTTGACCCGGGTCAACTGTCTTCATGTAAACGCTCACCTCTTTTGTCTATCGTACAGACTTTCAACCCGGGCTGAACTCGACCCGGGTTGAAATTTCTCATGTAAACACAGCCTAATATTACCATAAAGTACCCTTGATCCGCCCCCTACGCCATGTCGCTTCCCAGCTGGGTTTTCGGCAGGGGCGGGAATTAGATCAAGGCTGTCAGATGCAGTACGATGTACAACAACGTAGAAGTTCAGACTTGTGCTGGATTGTGCACATTTTCATCCTGGATTGGCAAGTATTGTGTGCAGCAGTGCATGCGTCGGTTCAACATCGTATTTTCGTTGTATACGCCGAAGTCGCTTCACAGGTAGAAAATCGACAGGAGGTGGGAATTAGAGAGGGGGCGGATCAACGGTACTTTACGGTACTAGTATTAGTAGTAGTAGTACCATGACTGTGCAAGTCACACTGGTCACGTACAGCATAGCACAGTTTTGCTTACCGGTATGTCTTTGTACAATTGTAGATCCACTGATCCCTGCTTTACAGTCCAAAGATGATATCCTAGCTTTTGGCCATAAATGGGTCAAGTTTTGAGTTTTTGTCACAATATTTTGGCAATCCCCCATGGAATGCTCTTCCAATAATATTGTGTTTTTGAATTCTCCGAAGAGCAAGCCATGACGAGAATAGGATTTCGGCCAGGTTTTGTCCCCAAAGCACTGAATTGGGGAAAAACCATGAAAATCAAGGCCGTTCACTCCACTTGCATAACAGTACATTTGCGGTTCAAACCCCAGTTGAGGCACCTTTTTTGGACCCTTTTTCAAGTTTCGAATCTCTGCACAGTGTACCACAACCTCACGATAAATCACCAAATACGGGAGCTCTCCAGAGCCAGCGCCCATCTTTTTCTGAATGTTCTGTAGACTCGGCATAGAAAGAGAGACACAAGAACGTCGCAGCTACTGAGCTAGGCTGTAGCCAGTGAGTGGTCTGCAGAGAGCTTTCGCACCACAAAGCACATGTCAGTTACGGTATTAAATACTAACAATCCAAGACTTACTAAATTTTAGTAAGTCTTGGATTGGATTGGGAATAAAAATAATTTAAATAAACATCCTGGCTTCAGTACACACTTTTAAAAACGGCTTTGAACATTCCCCACGACATATCCACACACATCACACACAAACACATGCGTACATGCGTACTTGCTAACCGCCGAGTGCCGGAAACTGGTCACATAGGTACTAGGTCTCATGTTGGGTGAGGGGAGAGAGGGACAGAGATTCAGAAGGAATCTGAGATTGAACGACTGACACCCCATGGAATACCCAAGCGTATAGGGTGCGCTTAGACATGATTTCACCTGTGTGCTTGTCACATCACAGTAAAAGAGTGAGAGGTGGGGTGAAGAAAAAGGAAAGAAATGAAGCATTGAAGGTTTGAGTACCAGGATCCAACTAAAAGTCCCAGCTTATTATTTTTGTCCTGAACATGTGCTACATGTATTATTATAATTATGTGCGAAATCAAATTCACTAAAAATTCATAATGCTACATGGTATATGAGCTGTCCTGAGATCCGGAGGGCAAATCTGGGATAATCCTAGCTTCCGTGAATAACCTTCCTTTCTGACAGCGTGGCATCGTGGCACTGCAGAATTTCATGATTTGAAAATCAGATGGATTCTACGGCATTACCACATGGAAAACGAACTGATAACAAAGACGACTCGTGTATCGAATGAAAGGAAATCTCGACAGATGTTTTTCTTTGATGCAAGATTATGTCAATCGCTTTGGCAGAGCCTCCTGATAAGACATAGGCAGTTTGTAGGCCTTACACAGTCGTTCTCGTACGCATTCAAGCTTCATGACTGTTTTGTAAAACTATAATTATTGACTTAATCAAGACGAAAATAGTATGGACCGGCTGGGGTGGGCGACTGGGCATTTGCAGAGGGCTTTACAGACCGTAACAGTACTCTGTCCCCGGGGAAAAACGCGGAAAAAATCGGAAAACGCGGCATAATATGGCATAGTTTGCGGTGAATTTGCGGTAAATATGCAGTGAATATTATTGATATGCGGCAAGTTTGCAGTTGATATGAGGCAAATTTCAGTATGTAGTGAAATCAATCAGTTACAAGTCTCTGGCGTAAGCACTCGTCATATTTGAGTACAAAGCCGCCACGATGAGACGTTGCTGACTGAACAGTGCACCGTGTGTACGTGTAGTGCAACAAAAAAGTTAAAAAATCGCGGAAAACGCGGTCTTTTAAAAAATCGCAGAAAAAACGCGGCCGCAGAACCGCGATTTTCCCCAGGGGCAGGGTACTGGCCCTGACGTCAGCGAAGGGCACACACCCGCCCGCACCCACACCAACATTCAAGACTTTTAAGAGTAAAATGAGCTTATTATACACTTGATGGCATGTATGGGGGATGCATACCTCTCCGAAATGCGTGTACTTTGTGGCATGAGAATCAAAGCTGTACCCAAACAAATATTAGGCGGACTCATTCACGAAGTGCAGCCATCTATGAAAGGGAGAGTGGAGAGAGAGAGAGAGAGAGAGAGAGAGAGAGAGAGAGAGAGAGAGAGAGAGAGAGAGAGAGAGAGAGAGAGAGAGAGAGAGAGAGAGAATTTCTCCGTAGCCTTGAGAGACCGATCAACCACTGGCAAGACATAACTAGTACTAACTACATTTAACTGGTCACACTAAATTAATTGAACTTGCACTTGTAAGCATCACACAGAGATGAGCACATGTGACAGATAAGCACGCCAAATTCGGCAAAGATTGGAAAACAACACCCAGTGAGCATGCTACTAGATATTTGTAAATCGGCACATGGCAGAAAAGAAAAGAACACAATCAGGAACAATGAGTAATTTCTCTGTACATACTAAAACTGAACAATGACAAACAAGACCATGGTTATGTGCAGCACACACGCACACACTAACACACACACACACACACACACACACACACTTACACACACACACACACGCACACCTAATCAGAGAGTGGGTTCACGCAGCACCAGCACATCGTGGCACAATAGCCGAGAGAGAGAGAGAGAGAGAGAGAGAGAGAGAGAGAGAGAGAGAGAGAGAGAGAGAGAGAGAGAGAGAGAGCACACGAGGACTGACTAAGGACGATAAGTCGTAAAAGCCTGAACGATGCAAGGAGAGAGCACCGTGCAGTGAATTGAGTCAACTACATGTACATCATATCAGTCAAGCACAGGCATGTCCAGAGGGGCCACTCGAAGCAGCCAATGGCACCAAACACACGTAGGCTGCTGACCTACACTAGAGGCAGAGACACACAACAATGCTGAAGATGACGAATCAGGCACATGCACACAGCACACAACAAATCCCGGATTCAAGACAACGTTGAACACAGCTGGGAAGAGGAAAAGCCACTGACTGCTGTCCATAGAGCAAAGAAGATGGATACTGGCAGCAGGAGCACAAGCAGCAGTAACGCTGGTACAGCTGGCAGTATCCTGGCATGATGCTGCTGCTGATGATGATGATGATGGTTGGGATGATTCTGATGCTTGTCGAGGCCATGGGATCATTGGGGGGCACCACCGTAGTTGGAGTAGTTACGTACACTGCACAGCAAGACACAAAGACACGCACGCACACGCACGCACATACGCACACAGGGTGAGGCAGCAGCACACTGTCTTTACATCCGTGAGGTAGTCCTTATTCGGGGCAGTGCGATCTCGGAGTTCCTCAGGAATCAAACAGCCCGGACTCATGCAAACGAATTCAATCCCCGAGATCTTCATGAGACGCTAGCCCAGACTTTACCAATTGACTTGTTTCGTATGGAACAAACGAGTCGTTGAGTCTCCCTAATGACTACACTGTACATTTCATTAGGGAAACTCGCCACACCAAGACTGACAGAATCGTCAAGCTTCAAAGGAAACTTCAGGACAGGTAGTACGTTCTAATAACACTCAAAGGAAACTTCAGGACAGGTAGTACGTTATAATAACACTCAAAGCTTTTAAAGCATACAACAATTAAACATCACATCCCGTATATCAAAAACTTCAACCCCCCCCCCCAAAAATAAAATTCAAGTTTCGTGTGGGACCCAGTCAAACTGAGTCTGCAGCATCCCTCAAGGATCAAGGCGCAGCTCCTATAGCGGTGGTGGGAGGTGAGTAGATCAGACTCACCACCAAGTTTTGCCAAAGACCAAAATCCCATCCACTGCATCAATGTTTCCTTCATACCAGGCCGCAGGTTCCCAATTCACTGTGGGTTGTAGGGCGGTTGGAAAAAATCCTTCCGCTTCCAAGCAGGACCTGAACCTGGTACTCTCCGTTTCTCACTATGCCTGCCTGCTTCAAACTGAAAACAACGTGGAATTGTACGCAAGGAGTTTGAAAAGATGAAGAGAAAAACTTACTTCTCCTGCAGCAGTTCCTGCGCATACTGTACGTTAGGATGGGTACCGACAATGGTGATGACACGATCACTACGATCAGGCTTAGCCTCTTCAATCTTGATCTGGCACTGACTTTGTTCCCTGTCAAGCAAGAAACAGTATGTATGCATACAGGAATGATCGCACGCAAACACACACACACACACACACACACGTGCACGTATGGTTGCACACAAACACAAAAACAATAAAGAGGTTTGCCTTATAAATTACTCGCTCCCGGGAATAACGTGTGACCGCTAACGACCAGAAGTGATTTCGCAGAAAAAAGAAGAAGGAACGGTTCACACAGGTCGCCTAAAGTAACTTTATATTGCACAGACCCTTTTAGACTTACCTGACTTTCAAAACTCGGCTTCCTCTCGGTCCAATGATAGCTCCAGCTAGCTGCATAAGACAATTGTGGGAACAAAGGAAGGCGTATACGAATGGAAAAATCAAACTAGAATAACCATACCAGAATAGTACACAGCACATGAGCGACATAGTTGTGCCATCACACACAGACCCCTGGGTAAGAAGAAAAGAAGAAAAAATTAGACCTGGCCATTGGCCATGCCACAGCAGTCGGGTGGCAAAACGTGATGTCACCCACATTGGCTAAACTTCAGGAATGCTTGTGCATGTACTGCACTGTACTGTGCTGTGTCTTGGCGTGGATATGGCAGAGAAGTCAGGTGGAGACTTGTCATACAAATCATGTTTACGATATTTTTTTACCAGTGTTGTCATAACAGCAGGGTGCACTCAAGAGAGCTCCAGTTCCTTCCTTAGTAGCGATGTCAGGGTAAATTTTTGTTTTGAGAATCGGGCAAATATTGTAATACCATCCGATTCCTGAAGACAAGTAGAGTATACTGGCAAAGTTTGAAGCAAATCGGAGCAAATATAGGGGACTTATAACAGTTTAGAGTGCGCGGAGTAGGCGCCGCCATTGTCAGAAAACACCATGCATCACTGTACACAAACCAGAACCACGCCACGGCACAAAAATCGGTCTTGACAACAGGATCGCGGGTCATGAATAATTTTGCGCACTGTACAAAATCATTATGAAAATGTAAGACCGCGTACCTGTTGTATACATGTACTGTTTTTTTTTGCTGTTGTTGCTGCTGCTGCAAATTGTTGAAGAACTACAAGAACACGAAGAAGACGTTTGAAGAGTAGCCGAAGTAGCAGTTGTGATTTGGTGATTCTGCGAGACGAGTAGATAATGCAAAAGGGAGAGTTGTCGCACTCTCACTCACAGTTCACTGAGGTGCCGGTAACTCCGCTGGCTCCTCAGCCTCAGGCTCAGGCTCCAGCTCGAACTCCTCCAGCTCGTCCTCCGCTGCCGCTGATCCTGTCGGCGTGGTCTCAGCTGTTGCACTACTACTAGCAGCGATAAGGGCGAGCAAGTTGGAGCTCATCTCCTCAATTGCCAGCTGTTTTCCGTCCTTGGAGAAGGCGAAGCGGGCTTGGTTTTCTTTGTTGTACTGGGCCATTACGTATTTTCGGAAACGGAGCTGGCACTTCAGAGCGTCTCTCTTGCCTTGCTGGGTGTTCAGCTTGGAAACGTTGGTGGCAAGGTCCAGCTCCGTAGTCCACAGCCCACCGTACTTGGCAAGCGCAAGCGTGGACGACTGCACCAGCTGTGTTTGTCTCTCCTGCTGGCGTTTCTTCTTCTCCTGTTGCTGCTGTAGATGTTTCTGCCGGTGTGCCTGTATGGCCAGTTTGCGTTGCTTGGCCAGCTGTTTCTGGTAGGGCACTGATGCCCGTGCAGCTTTCAGAATGGCTGCTTTGTCCGCCTCTGATTTTGCAGCTAGCCAACTCATTGTCTTGTTGTTGGCGAGCATGATCATGGACTCAATAGCTAGCGTAGTGGCATTGGGCTTCTCCCGTAAGAATCGGTCCAGTTGCCCAAAATCATGCTCGGAAAGAACATTTGTTTTTGGCAAATGGCGCATGCTGGCGGTGTCGGCGGTTGTTAAATCACCACCAGGGAGGTAGGCAGACCAGGCACGCGCCATATACGAATGGAATGTTGCTGCAAGCAACTGCGAAACCTCTTTGACTTCTGCATCACTGCTGGCTGGTTCAACAAGGGCGTCAAACACTGGCGTTGCAGTGTGAACGTCTGCTTCTGGAAATGGCCTGCCGCTACCATCCAACAGATCTGAGGCATCCTCCGCCCAAACTGCTAACTGCTGCGTTAGCTGATGGTAGATGGTGAAGACGTCAGTGAACGGGCGAGCGGATACAAGAAATCGCCACAGCGGACCGGTGACAATCTTACCAATAATGCCGAGTGCACGACATCCGGCCAGATAACGTTGATCGTCCAGATCTTTCGCCACTGCCTCTATCAGCCTGTTCTTTTCCGCGAAAGAACAGTACTCCGTCATGAGTGCCTTGAGGAAATGCACACCTGCAGCATCAAAGAATAAAATATTGAATCTGTTGCCTCTGAACGCGGCTAACGGCAGAGCGGTGATACCACGACTGGCGCAGAAGGTAGCGAAGTCAACCATCCGTCCTGCCTTCTCACTGCCATGGCGTTCAAAGGCTTTGCATGCAGTCCTGATCAGACGGATGGCTCCAGCCTCTTCACTACTCTTTGCAGCTTCTCCCTCCACCTGGCTGCTCTCGTACTCACGCAAGACAGCGTTGCACTGCTCAGCAAGATTCACCAACATGTGGAGGCCACAAAAGTGATTATTCATCTTGGAGAGCGATGCCTTCTCCTGATCAGATAACTCGTCCCAGTCAGGAACAGTTGCCGATAGCACGTCTTGCCGGTACTTGCCGAGGAGTTCGTTGAACTTAGCGTTGACTGCAGCACGGTCTGTCATAGTATTCTGCAGGGAACAGAGCAGCTTCTCGCCTGCGTTTGTTCTGCCGGTGTGTTCACCAACAGCAGAGAGCTCGCCGATCACTTCTTTAAACAATGTCAGCGTGTGCTCTGCCGAGCCAGAAGCGACGTCACTGACTGACATGGTGAGTTGCCCTTCGCTGCTGCTGAGTTGAAAACCCATGTATTTGTGTCCAAACTTGCTTGTTCCGTCATAATGTAATGTTGTACCCTCGGCTGTTGCAGCTACTTCACCGATTTGGGCAATACTAACACTTCTGCCCTCTGCATACATCTGCTGAAGTGTTCCGTAGCTAGGAAGCTTGGCGGGACGCTTATTAGCCAGCTTGAGCACTTCGGTGATGACGGGATTTACATTATTAATTCCGACATTCAATGCTAGTAGTGACATACAACATTGCCTCATGTCATCTGTATATTTACCATCATAAAATGTCTCTATTTCTTCACAGCTGGCAGCTTGCAAGACTTCGAGCTGCTCCTCTAGCTCGCTGATAACCTCATCCGTTGCTATCAGCTGCTGTTTCAATTCATCCTGCTCCTCGGCCATTGCCTGCTTCGGCTCGTCTTCACTGGCTTTGGCTGACGCACGTAACTTTTCAGCACTCTCCTTGTAGTATTTCAGCATTCGCTGAGCTTTTGCATGACGTGCCGTTAGCTCAGTGTGCTTGTCTGTTATCCGCTCAATCTCTGATTCCGCTTCTTTGTATTTGTGCTCATATTCCGTCACGGACTCTTGTAGCTGTTGGCTGGCGTCAGTGACAGCTTGTAGCTCATCACTCTTGTCAGACAGCAATTTTTCCCTTCTGTGTAATTTCTTTTTCACATTGCGCAGCTTGGTGTGAGCTTTGCTGATCCGGTTGCCCATTGCAGCAAGTTGTGCGTCTTCGGTGTGTACATCCTCTGTTTCTTCCTCTGTGTGTTCGGGAGGGCTGAAGATTTCTTGTTCGTCACTTTTCTCAGCATCTGGGTTAGCTGTATCATCATCTAATGTCGGCAGAGTGTATGGCTCGTCCAGAAACTGTTGAAGTGTTGCCTCACCATCCACTCTTGATTTGCTCTTTCCCAGTGCAGCTGCCTTGTTTTTCAACCTGTCGGTAACGTGGGAAACAGTCAACAAATTTTTTTTGTTAGTTTTCATTTCTTGTGAGATTTTATTGCATTTCTGGCGAGCCGGTACTTTACCTGTGCATAGTGGAATTAATTGCCCGACATGATTGAGGGGACAATGATGATGATTGGTGGCCACTTAGTTGGACTATCCATCTACACAACTTTTTAAGATCCTGGTGGTGGTCCGCTTTGAACTTCATCAGTTCTAACACTAATCCATTACTGACTTTTCCGATCCTGCTAGGCAGGGGCTCATCCTGCAATAGCTGCTCCTCCTTGAGTCCAAGACTCGACAAAACATCTTCGCCACCGGTCCCTTTGCTGGATGAAGCGCTCATGATTGCGTTGTGTCCAGCAACGGAGTACCTGTGGCGAAAAATACTGAGACTCTGGTGCGCGGCGTGATACGCCAGTGAAACTTCGCAGAAAACTAAATTGGACGACGGGGAACACGATGGAACTAAAATCAAACCAGTATCACGCAGCGCAAGAGATGAAAAAGGCCGCTGAACATACGCTAACTTGTCGGCGGCCATACTCCTAGCTCCGTAGGCGCAGCGCGCCCCCACAAACGCGGATACGAAAGTTCATCTTCTATTTTCGTGGCAATAGTCACGACCAAGCTTGTCACTGACGTCTTCATGGCACATTTGAACATCCCGCGTCCCAAGTACTGCACGCACTGGCCGCGACTGGCATTCTGCCGCACTGGGCTTTTGTGCCATCATTTCAGCTGGTTGCTAGGGAATCCAGCGACAAGCGTGAAGGTCACGTGGCACGGCACTCTGACATCGCTATCCTTAGTTTATGAGAAACTCAGGATTGGCGGGATAAGGCTTCACCACCAAGGAAACTGATCAAGCTATCAACGAAATAATTATCAAGTACAAGAAGCCATCAGAACATGGCAGAATATCCAGAGCGTGCACTATGCCAGTTGTCAACCTACCTGATCTGGAATGGTGACCTGTTCCGTGACTATCGTATCTACAGACAGTAACAATGGCCACAGCAGCAGCAGCAACAACAAAGGCACAAGAATCGTGAATACCGGAAACAAGATTTGGTGCAGCATGCACGCTATTCGATGTACGCTCCTTCAGGAGAGTGCATCTGGATGTAGAGCGGCCCAAATGTGTATTCGGCAGATGACACAGGAATAACAAGTTAGTCACCAAACACCTAAGGGACCTCCGCAGCTTGAAGCAACGGTTAGGGGCAGTTTACATGAGAAACATAAGCCCATGCTAATTTTCACTGGTTTACATGACGGAGGTGCGCAGCAATCAAGTACCGTATTTTTCCGGTTGTAAGTCGACCTTTTACGACTTAAAATAGAAGGAGAAAGGGTGGGGGTCGACTTACAACCGGGATTCGACTTATAACCGGGAACTATCAGAATCTTACAAAAAAATGACCTGCACTGCATGCACGAGTGCACTATGTGTACACATTTTTCCAGTTTATTGGTCTTTTCAAGGATTGGGATGTTATAACCTCCAATAAGGAATGTTTACATGATTTGTTGATGTATTGATAGCAGGGAGTGGTTAGTAGTGCTTCTTTGGGTGAAAACTTTAAAACGCAGAATTGAGACCTCCGGATACGGGGGTCGACCTATAACCTGGGTCGACTTACAACCGGTAAAATACGGTACTGGCTTCAGATGGGCGACTGCGAATTCTACGTGCATTTTTACTCTTCAAATCACACATCGAATACAGAGGTAAATATTCGTGAAAGATAAAAATTAGATCAAGATGTGCCTACGCATGGTCTCCTGCTGGATCCACTAAAGGCAATGGTGCCTGTGTCACGAGGTGAATCTGGATATTAATATTTCCATTCCCGCTAATGGCGAAATCAAGAGTACATAAACCAGAGTGTGCAACTGCGTATATCAGATCTGAAACAGCGCAGTTCGTGCACTACGTCACCCTGATGAGGTCAGCCAAGCCGCGACGGCGTACAGCTCAAATTTTAATGTTTCATAGCCCGGAAATCAGCCAAGTTTGCTTGATTTTAGACGTCCAGTTTCAGGATTTCGGTGTTTTGTGTAACTGTGTACATCCACCGACAAGTAAAGTCACCAGGCTATCCGTATCAAAAAACCGAAATCAGGACAAACTCAGTGACCTGCACCACCGCGACTGGTTACGCAACTTTTCACCGTACCTGTGGCTTACCATGCCGTCAGAAATGACGTAGTGCACGAATTACGCTCCCACAGGAACCATCCCGAGTTGCACACTTTGGTTTATGTACTCTTGGCGAAATGAACAGCTCGAAACTTCCCACATTTCTGCTGCAGATATGCACCGACTGGTCTGATGTGGTCTGGGTGTAATTTCTGGGTTTCTTCGAACGCCCCTTTTGATGTGTGGAACTACGATATAGAGTGTTATTCAGTGAGGCCATTCGGGATTCGGGATACTCCAAGCTGTAGACGTGATGTGCACTCCACTTCAGATGTTACAATAGCCTTGGCAGCAAGTGACAGAGTTTTCTCGGCAGGAGATGTGGGCCGACGAGTACACAGCAATGCTGCCTATGGATCATCGTGTCATTTGTTTCGGATTAAGAAGTGAATGGCGATATAATTATATCATTATGCCCTTTCTTGATAACAAAAAATGGCTGAAGTACATCTGCAAACTTACGGTCCATTCCGGCCACTTGCTGCTAAACAAGACATAAGCAAAGCAAAACAACATAATAAACCAATAGTCATAAAAACAAGAGGTTGGCCATTACCAGGAAGCAGTGAGCAAACAGACAGGTGACAAGTCAGCACAGTGAAGGAACATAGCTTCCTGCCTCTAACACCACAAAAACACAGCCTCTATTTTCCTAGTGAAAGCACTCCCAGAGATACGTAGCACATCTTTACACAACATACGTGTGCGCAAGCAAACCCAGTCTCATTAAAAAATTCTCTTCGCGCGTTGACGCATTCATTATTCGACTGAGAAGGGATATGGAAACTAAACTCTATACACTACAGTGTTCTGAAGTACCCGATGTATCATGCTGACTAGCGTCCCAATCACACCGCCCCTAGCTCTCGTTACCACGCTGAAATACAAGAGTGTTGTAATCACACAAGGAATATAAGGAACAGGCGGCGTCACGAGTTGGTCCTTGCCGGCAGCCGTTACTTTCTCTCGGCAATATCGTGGAAAGGACACGTGTGAAGACAACGCGACACGCCCGGTAACTTACAGGCGCGCCGTACGGAGCTCCAGGCAGAGGATTGACCGGTCCAGTTTGCCACGGGGCGCCTGCAGTAGGAGCAGGTGCTGGATCATCACAAGTAGTGCAGAACACAGAGAGAGAGAGAGAGAGAGAGAGAGAGAGAGAGAGAGAGAGAGAGAGCAATGTAGGAAATAATCGTATACAGTCAACTTCGCTTATAACGACACTCGGCGGGGCATCAGAAAAGTGTCCTTATCCGCGAAGTGTCGGTATACCCGAAGTCTCATTATATGTGTTACAGTTGGATGGGACTTTGCACTGGGCATGGAAATTATGTCGTTATTCGTGAATTGTTGTTATATCCGCAGTAGTTATTAGCGAAGTTGACTGTAGGTGATCATGGATATAGTACTTATGAGCTGATTGTAAAGTAACTGGTTGTGTTAGTGGAAATTATAGGTAACTTGTAGCTCTTTGATCCTCTTAGACTAATTCAAATTATACAACGTCAATGGGCATTACCAAGAGTACATAACCCCCCAGAGTGTGCAACTCCACTATGGGTGCTGTCCCGACAGAATTTCAAGTTGACGTCATTTTGATGATGCAATGCGCACTGTACACGGATTATCAGACGAATCCGGAACCTGTGGTTGACCGAAGCCGATCGATCCTGTACAAATTATTGCAAAGAAAAACGTGTGATGCGTTGACACCCGTACACATGTTGTAAATCACTGGTGCAAGGAGCATTGCGTCATAAATAATGACGTCAACTTGAAATTCTGTCGGGACAGCAGGGTATGTGGGAGTTGCACACTCTGGGGGGTTATGTACTCTTGGCATTACCCAGCAGATTGTGCCTTAAAGGGGAAGCACATGTGCAGCTAAACATTGACTACACACACATCCCAGCATCTGAAAACAATGAAGGGGATAAAAGTCCCCTTTTCACATAAACAGAGAGAAGAAATGTTGATGCTGATTGAGCAATGCCTGAGTGAGGATAGCTTACCGGTTCCACCAAGAGGTGAGAAGGCTTGAGCGGGAGTGAACGTAGGCCGTGCAGCGCCAGCGCCACCGCGACCCATGGAACTGCCACCACGGCCAATGCCAACGCCTCTGCCTGCACCACCGCCGCCACGGCCTCCTCTACCTCCTCGACTGCCACCGCGGCCACCTCGGCCAGTCCAACCCTGGTCTTGATACGACACGGCTGGGTCGAATAGCAGCGGATGAGCCTGGTTCGATGGGTTCTAATCATCATTGCAACACAGACACAATAACATGAGCGATCAGTAGAGAATGGGCGGTGTGACGGGTTCTGAACGCGGTAAGCAGGCTCTCCACTAAAGTGTATATGTTTCTATCAGTAACACAGCAGTGAGATAGGCAGTGATGCTAACTAAACTCTTCTTCGCTTACTGGAGAACGTGCCGGGGAATGACACAGCAACAAGATGGGCAGTTCGTTTAGCAACAGTTCTGATGCGGGGGATTATCACAACAATAAAATAAAAAAACAGAGATAGGAAGGTGATACTATGCGTCATGTTCAGCATTGACTGCTTGGTATGATTAAAGAACATCTACACACATGTTACACAGTCATGAAACACCTTCAAATGATGCTTCAAAAATGGAGATTGTCAGATGAGCAAGTCTCAGATAAATTGCTGAACGTGTGTAACAGTGTACCGTGTACTGGGTCTCTATGGTGACTGTTATTTGTGTACTTGGATACACGTACTTGGCCAATTCTTCCACAACATTATCAGTTTCAAAGTATGAAAGCAATCCATACCTCGGCAATGAATTCCATGATCCGTGTTATACAATGTATAATGTCCTCATCCTGACCTGTACACGTAGATGAATAGAAAGAGTATGCACATGATCACAACTACAGTGTTCAGAATACAGGTGCAGCACACAAGCCAGGCATCTTGTCCCTAGTAGACATAAATCATAATGCTCTGGCGCAGCCTGCCAGTGACAAAGTAGAACAAGGCTTTCTCAGTAGAAGTTTGCCTGCGGATAGATGATGATTTATGCTCGCAGGTCAATTCTGTCACAAGCCTGTGGTCAAAGTAAGTATACAAGTCCCCCCCCCCCCCCCACACACACACACAAGTTGACAACACACCCATCTCCCCCTCTCCCCCCCCCCCTCCCCCCCCCCACACACACACACAAGTTGACAACACACCCATCTCCCCCTCTCCCCCCCCCCCCCCCCTACACACTCTCTAGCTAGCTGCACTCACTCCCTCACTAGCTAGCTAACTACACTCACTCCCTCACTCTCTCACATGCACATACTGTAATTTCACAAATTTTCGGTGTACTTTTATTTTCGGTACTTTCGGTGCGTCTGTTTCATACCTAAAATTTCAATACACCGAACAAACACTAACACACATAATCCAATAGGGAACTGCTTCTCTGTACCGAAAATTTCTGTTCACCTAACCTAGCCTGTTGCCCTCATACCGAAAATATTGAGCACCGAAAATTTCTGAAATTAGAGTACTCACTCACTCTCTCACAGTCACACTCACACACTCTCTCACTGCACATACCGGTGACGGCTGCCAGGCGCTCTGTGGAGTTGGGCATCGGGTCGGGGTTCACTTTAATTGTTGTGTTTGTTGACTGCAGAGACAGAGACATGGATACAGTTTCTTCGTGAATGTAAAGTGTAAAGCCACAGCAAACATGCAAATGGGATGGGACAACAATCCCACTGGATAAGAAACCATGTATTTTAGTTATTAGACTCTTCATACGCATTCATGTATGCATTCTTCAAGGCATACTGCAGTGTTTACAGTGCTGCTCACTGAAATCCAGTCACATCACTCAAGTGCGCGCCGGGCGTTGCGCAGCCCTAGACCTGCGAACACTGGGCTGCGAAATGGTGCAAGGCGCAAACTTGAGTGAGGCGACCGGATTTCATTGAGCAGCACCGTAGATGTATGTGGACAAAACTGTGCACTCAAGCTGGCACACTGCATCAGAACGCAAACCGCCAAAAATTGCAAGTACCTGCCGAAGCTGATTGATGCGTTCACCACCCCGGCCAATGATGCCTCCAACTTGATCTTGAATGAGCAGCACACGAAGAGTTGGCCGGAACGTAGCTGACATATTGGGATCAGCCCGAGCAGACTACAAGCAACAAGCCAAACAAACAAGACACGCACGCACAGTATTTCCAGTAACACTGACGCCAACGCTCAGGCAATCAGTCACTAGAGAGGTTCCGCACTACGTAAAATTGACCTGCTGGAATCGAAGAGGAGTGGCTGGGTTGTCTTGTGTTGCATGCACAGGTAGACTCCCGCTAATTTGAATACTCCACTGAAATGAACATGCCTGGAGTTGTACATAACCAACTATGTTGCTTAGGCGCAAACAAAAGTGCAACAATGATCACCATGTGATTTCAAGTACAAATTAGGTCATGGGGTTGCATTTTTCCAACCTGTATCTACATCAATGATTCCCACACATGCTGTACAGCATGGCAATGTAGGCTCTTTGCCATTTTTAGTACCTTCTTACGCAACTGTAGCAAATAACCAGTTGAATCAAGCATTGTGCAGCGGCTATTTCAAATTTTGAAAGGAGAAGGGGGGGGGGGGGAGGTGGGGGTGGCAGTACCACACTATGCCACTCCGGCTACAACCCTGACGTGCGGCCGTATGGATTCGTACCTGTCCAAGCTGAGGAAGAACACACTTCAGCACGTCCAGAATCTGCTCGTTGGACGGGGCGATAACGGTCAGAACGCTGCAATTCAATGGCCATAGAGTCGACACATCCACAGACGCATGCACCAGCAGCCAGAGAAAGAAGACAAACAAAGCAGACAAACAAGAGTAATCAGCGACACAGATCACATTGGCTTCATACAGCATTCCCACCACATACAGTGTATCAAGGGAATCTGTGAAGTTTGAAAGGGCAGGGCACCCAACAGAAGGTGTGCATGTACCAGCACTGCAGCCATACTACCATACTACCATACTACCATTCCATCCCTGCTCAAAGTGACTGGACAAGTTCTTGAGCCCGGGAAAAAAGCGTCTGTCTTGTACACATACCATTGCCACGTGCTACAGGGGCAAATGAACATGTATGAAGAGCACTACCCATCATCCAGTACAATCAGACTAAAAAGGGGACATTTGAAAGCGGGGTAGTGGTTACATATCACCACTGTAGTGAACAAATATCATGAGAGCTTGTGTGTCCACACGGCACAGGAAGCATGTCATGATCTGACACAAACAAAGACAGCAGACTATGGCTTATCGTGATTAGGTGGCAGTGGTAGTGGTGCTGCTGCTGCTGACTGCGTGTGCATAAGAGCTAGCAGCGAGCAGTGAGCAGGCGCTATAGTGGCAGTGGTGGGTGGGTTGCCAGGGCCGGGAGGATGCCAGGGAGCCCTGATTCAGAGGCAGGTCGAGCGGCAGTCAGTCACGCTGCACACCTAGGCTACTGTACGTGTACAGCAGCTGACTGCGGGTGAGTGTGGTTCTGCACAGCTACCGGTATACGGGTCGGGACATACCGGTCGGGGGCCCCATTGGAGTCTGGTAGGAGAACACTTGAGGCTAACTGTGGGGTAGGAGAGGGACAGACACATGGAAGGGAGAGAGAGAGCAACGGGAAATCAGATGAACTGGAAACTAACAGCAAACACCGTGGAACCTCGTATCACAGGCACTTTCACCACACAAAAACTCTGTGTGCATCTGTACCCACCGTTGTGAACTGCACGAATATTTGTCTGCAACTTCGTTTTTGCGCAAAATTGAAGAAAAAAACTATGGAGCAGGGAACTGAAGAAATTGGTATTCAAGGCAAGTCTGGTACACAATTAGGTGACAATGCCCGGGTCATTGGTTGGCATCTATTGATAGACAAAGACTTGAGCCACAGGGCATCGCGTGATGCTAGTTTCATAGACTTGGAAGCTCATTCGAATGGCGTCAATGGGCTTGGACAAATGCAACGCCAACGTGATATGCAACCCTCGACAATCCACACTCTCGTCAGTTTGCACGAGAGTGGAAGCGGCCGGCTGGCAACGCCGTGTGCCGGGTATTCTGAATGGGACTGAGTGCGGTGCTACTGCATAGTCCTACTGTCTGTATGGGTGTTTGCAACACTGAGGTTCCACGGTGTACGGACAGGAACAACAAGAGACCAGTCTCTGGAAAATGGGGAAAACAGCCTAACAACCCTCGCCAGCAATGACGTGACATCAGCAACACAAACACAAATAGCAGGCTCTATCTACTAGCTAGTGACATTGAACACACCAACAGCACAACGCACTGGCATTGAGCAGCCAAACCACTAGCACTGGACTAAGCAGGATGGTGGAAACACACACACACATCGTCTGTACACGTAATACAACACAAAGGACACGGGTATATGGTATGCTAGTCATCAGCAACACCAACACGACAAGCCAACACAGCACAGCAGGGTGTCGGCTCCAGCCAGCACAGCATCAGGTGCATGTACCGGTACATATTCATGGAAGCCAGTTATAAAAGCCACACGTTACCATTACAGGACTGGAAGACAGTACAGTACTACACACATCAGCGAGGGCTACATACATACTTCCAGATACACCAACTTACGCCAAAGTTGTACTCCGAAGCACTTAAGCTGTGCACAAGTCGTTCTGAGTGACATGCAACTTCAGTCAAATAAGAGTTCACACGATATTTCCCAAACCGTACATACTCAACTGGAGGTAATCTTCATTGAGGGTCGCATCACACACCACGCATCACACACCACACATCACTGGAGAACCACTGGTTGGAAGGGAGTACATGTACATCACATGTACGATGTAGACACCAGCCTCTATTTGCCCCTAACCCCCACTACTCCCTCCAAGGGCTGCGACATAGGAAAAGACTGAGAAAAGAGCACAAAAACAAGAACAGATGGCATACAGCAGTACAAACAGCCGCAGGTGCAGGTGGCGCAGTACAGTACAGTAAGGAGCAAAGCGCTGCTGCGACAGGGTACAGGAACGAACACAAGCAGCACACTGCAAAACTAAATGGCAGAGAAGTGACTGACATACCGTTCTCATGTGCTTGATCACACTGCCGCCCTGAAAGAGAGAATCGTCAAAGGACACCAAATGTAACAACCAATGGTGTGTACACGTCGACGTACCATAAAGAGAGCCCCGCAAAGATCGTTGGTCAACATGGTAAAACATTCAGAATACTGATGATCGAAAAAAAACTGGGCTTTATAAATAAAGCCTTTATTTGATGAACAAATGGCGAGGAGACAATAATTTGATAACCGCAATCAACACGACCAGCTGAATCGACATTTGTGTTAGTGCTTCCTATTTTCATCGTTTTATTGCACATTGTCTCCACCGCTTTACATTGCATGAATAAAGTTACACAAATGCCGAATTAGCTATGCCGAACTAGCTTGTCTTATTTACTTTGATGGCTTAAAATTTTGCTGATGCCGCGTGTATTGAACTCCGGTCCTTTGGTATCCACATGGAAATACTGAGCATGCACGAATCCAGAGAAATCTCAAATTAATCTGGGACCCCAAACGACAAGATTATCCAACATTGAGCAATCTGCAATACCCAGTATAATGTACTTTTTTGAAGTATCAGCCTCCGTGCTATTTTCAAAACACCCAATGCAATTTTCGCTAGATGAGTTCCTTTTTCGACAGTAGTGTCTACTTTCCTCTACCAGCTCAACCAGGTTTGAGGCTGGTAGGAGTCGGTAAAAGTCGTTGGTAGAGGTGTAGGATTCCTGTGCATACATGGTGATGGCAGCAGCTGTTTTCCACCGTAGGTCGTGCATCGTACTACAGGAAAAATGCTGATAATTCCATCCCAAAATGCCAGGAAAAAACTTCTAAATTATCCGGACGTTCCAACCCTTCATTGGCCGATTAAAATATAAGCAAGCCCACGCGATCACCAAATCTGTACCTAAATTGGACGTAACTTTAGTTTGCACTGGACAAATTCCACGATCTTGGGCATCCTGGAAAGGCCTTGACGAGAGGAGCGCGATGAGCCTACACTCGGCTCCACGGGATGCACTGGCCCAGCGCTGCAAGCCAGGGAAGGCACACCAGCGCTGGGCACACGCTCGACATCGATCTCTATCCACCATTTCACTCCTGTTGCTCGTATCTAACTCAAATATTTTGGTAGAGACCCCGGGAACCTACTTTTGATGTTAACGGTGTAGCCTTGTTAACAGGTGATGTAAGCAGGGGAAATCCCAGCCGTTGACCCACGCATCTCGTAACTCTAACTCACTACATCATCATTAGCTCATGTAACTACAATCATAGTCTGTACGCACTTACACATTCGCTGCTGCTAACTGCTATGAAACTGTAACAATCTGGCGCTCTATTCTGAAACTGTATTGCAATCTATCTTCTACCGTTCTACACCTTCTCTTATCCCGCCTATATGCGGCGCTCTCTTACGAAACTGTATTGCAATTAATTATGAAACTAGCTTCTACCGTTCTATGCCTTCCCTTATCCCGCCTTTATGACTAGCCGTTACGACTAGTGAGTACAGTGTGTTTTTGTCTGATTGGCTGCTTTCCCGAATATAAGTCCCTGTTCTTGTTGCATTCGTCCTCTCACTCCGGCACTGCCTTCTCGTCTGTTATCTCTTCTATCCTCTCATATCTTGACCTATCTACAAGGTGTGTCCTTGGCAATGGAACTCTTGGTGGGCTGTTGAGTAATGGCGTGCATATATTGTGCACTTGGGATTCTGGGTCTTGGTCACACTTCGTGGCGGCCCTATTTGGTGTTGTTCGCAACGCAGGCTTTTGACTGACCGTTGAGGTCAGGTCATGACATTTGGAGCCGTGACCAGGATCCGTCACTCAATGTGGACTAATCCTCGGTTCTTTTCTGGCGTGGCGTTTTTGTCTTATCTAGAATGGCACAGGAAATGATTGAGGAGATCAACTCCCTCACCCAGGAAGCAGGCCAGGGACGAGAAACGCCAACTATGCAGTGTCTCGAAAGGGCGATAGCACTATTCGACGGCGTCGGTCGCCCAGACCAAGGACGGCATATCAGAAAATTGAAGGAGGATTCGGACTTTCTGTCCCTCATATCCTTCCGGATATTGGGCTGGCATGCCGGCCATCGCACCGAGGAAGAAGAGGAACCACCGAGAAAGAAAACTCGCCAAAACTCACGTAAAACCAAGAAGGAGAAGGCTCCGAAGCCATCAGCGACAGAGATGCCGGTAGACTATAAATATTTGGCAGTGAAACTGGCATACAGGGTTAGGACTCTGGAGTCACGCTTGTTCAGCGGTATGAACGGGTACAGGTGTATAACACACTTTACACGGTGTCATCACCGGTAGTATATTAGGAGCTGCAGTATGAACTATTACTTCATGGTCATGCAGTCATTAGAATGAAAGTGGCCGTTGCCCCACTTTTATTCTAACAGTATTAAAGTGGAGCATGCTGTCTCTTAGTCAGTTCAGGGCTAAATGCAACATATTCATGAGAGGATACACGGATTGACGGGAACGCCAGCATGTGAAATGTGTGGGAAGCGTGTAACACACGCAGGAAACACAGTACCGAACTACTGGTGTGGACATGGAAATGCCGGCGCCCCCAGCGCCCACAGAAAGTTGCATGCAGTGCACCTGTTGTCTTTTTTTGTTGATCAGATGCGACCAGCGCGCTGAAGCGCATACATGCATATGTGTACTGTCCCGCGTCCAGGGCTGCATGGCCAGCGCCTTTTGGCCGCTAGACCGGATTTCCATGTCCACGACAGTAGGACAGTGTATCGGGAGGTACGGAAGGGGACCAGGCGACAAAGTCCTAGATGTAGTGCCCTCCAAGAAATAGTGCGAGTAGCTGTCATGATGCATTGCTACATGACCAAACCACTTCAATGTAACTGTTCAGCTAAAGTACAGTTTTCGCAGTACATTTGAAATCATTATTTTTCTGAAAATACAAAAACCTGAATAATGTGAACAAAATTCTCGACATGTGACTGAAAATTCAAATCCTGTAGCTCTTCAAAACAGTCCTTACCTTGCCTATAACGGCTCCGGCGTCCTGCACCAGAAAGCACCCAGAGCATAAAGATCAGCATTAGTTTCTGTAAGAAACCTCACACCGAGTTGCACATATCAAAGCCACACAATTACCTCAGCTGGGATAAGACATCGTAGAGAAATCTCGGCTCCACCAAATCGACTCGCACCCGACTCGAGTCTTTCTCGCTTTGCGGCGGGATAATCCGTATCCGCATCAGCTCCGCTTGGCCTCTTCTCAGACATATTCTATCACGTGTGGAGCCTGACTAAAAACGGATGGAGGAATGAGAAAGAAGTTACTTCCTTCACGAACAGCAATGCAAAAAAGCGACCTTGCAAGCTTGGCTGAGAAAAGGCTCACTTTTTTGCCGTCTTTTTCTGTTTTGCACTTTTTCGCTTTTTGACGAAAATTCAGCACATGTCACATGCAAAAATACATACCGGTACGGGTATAACCGGTATGCGATTAGTTTATTTCAGTGATCGCGTGACTACGACGACTCTGTACGACTCTACGACGAGTCGCAGTGACTGTGTACATCATGTAGCATTCATTGAGACCAAGATGGAATTCTTTTTGGAGATGGACAACTCAGCAATGGGACATGGCCTCGGACATCTGCCGTGTGGTGCTTGCAGGGATCATTTGTTCAGTTATGTTGGCAGCCTGACCGTCGGTACGCGGTAAGCTTGTGGATAAGATTCAGTTCTGCTCGAAGTGGTACTGTGCATGTGATCACAAACAATTACAGTCGACCTACCCTTATAACGATATTTGAGTCAAACCAAGAAATATTGTTATAAGGGTAATATTGTTATAAGGGTAACTGGTTCATTTCATACACATACGTCATAATGAATAGATTTTGTTCATTTTTTACAATCTTTATAGCAGAAAACTGACGTACATGCCCATTGTGTACACAGCAAGGTGCCTACTGGTGCCCCCATTGCACTTCGTCATGTCCCAGCGACTTATCAAGTGAAGCTTGCCCTACCTTGATAGTGGGCTTTACATATCCCCTGCTAGATATTGTTAGAAAATGGAAAATGTCGATTGGTCAGCCCATTTTATATCGTTATAGGGGTAATATCGTTATAGCAATATTGTTATAGAGGTAAGGCATTGTATACACAAGTCAATGGAGTGATTTGGTTTGCCAGAAAAATATCGTTATAAGGGTAATATCGTTATAGAGGTTATCGTTATAAGGGTAGGTCGACTGTATTTGAAATAACACAAATTCAACTCAGCGTCGTGCGTTTTCAGATCCTCGCAAAGTCACTGCCTGTGTGTGGTCTTCATGTGCCACGCAAAACTCTTACCAGGCTCATCTGTCCTCTGCCTTCACCTTTGCTTGAACAACAAACACAACAATTCCGGAATGTTTTGCAAAGAAAAATACAGCTATCTGGAGCTGAAAAAAAGAAGAAAAATTGTCCTCAGAATTACTCACCAGGGAGTCGTCAAATACTTGCACTTGTTGCAGTACTGTATTTGACAACTTCCTGATACACATGTAAACATGAAGGAACTCTTTGTGGTAGCACTCTTAATTTTTCAACTGAAATGATTCTGCTGTATTTTATTGTGGTTGCCATGTCTATTGCTATGACGATGTGGTGCCGGCACTTTTTTCTGTCTCCGTCTTTCAGTACTGTATACTCTCTGATGGCCTGTAGCAGTCTTTTTGTTAGGGTGTAGGAGAAATATCTTCATTTTTCCTGTTTTGATAATGATAGCACATCAATAATTATTAGGGCTGAAACGGTCGTGGATTTTCACCTATCGATTACCCTTTAGCTTAACGATCGATTAATCGATTATAATCGTTAGCAAACAGTGTCAGAATTTTGTGCAAAAATACTCTGTTTCCAAAAGCTAGGCCTTCATAATACCAAAATTTTGCATTAGTGACAGGGTAGGTCAGAACCATAGCAGTTATAAAGTCAATTTAACCTCAGAATATGCACCATGCCCCTGGCAACTGCATACTCACAGTGGAAACTGATTCAAACTTCACAAAAACAAGGGCTTTCAGTACTTTTTGGACTCAAAATCCCTAACGAGTAATCTTTAACGTAACGATTACTTGATTGATCAGGAATTATCGATCGCTTACCGAGTAATTGGTATAATCGTTTCAGCCCTAATAATTATACATTGTGGTCATAATGTTTGTGAACATTTTATTATTATTATTATTATTATTTGAGGGATTCCCCAAAGGCCGAAGCCTAAGGGCATGTTCGTTTGGTAGGATCGGGATCCCGATCCACCAGATCCACTGGATTCGCACCCTTTCGATTGGTCGAATCCGGATCCGGATCCTTCGGATTTGGATCCGGTCAACCCACCTCGGGGAGCAGGGTTGACCGGATCCAACGGATCCAAATGTGACCTTTGTGCGTATATGGCGGGTAAAACTCGTTTTTGTACACATTGTGGTACGCACACGTGGATCGAGATAGAGCTTGCTGACTTTTTGTACAACTGGCGCTGTGAGTACGACTTTTTATTACTTCGTCCACATGGCAACAGTCAAGGCTCAAAAAAGTGTCCAGTTGACTCTGAAGGATCCGACGGATCTGAGATCTGGATCCCGATCCCGATCCTAACCAATCGAACATGCCCTAAATCAAGGGGGTCTCCGAGAATAAATATACGTGTACAATGCGTGTACAATAGGGTGCAATTCTTAAAAGGAAGAAAATAGTAAGATAAAAAAAGATTAATGTGAAGAGGTTAAAAAAGAAGTCTGAGTAGAAGCAAGCGAAAAGGGTACTGGTAAAGAAGGGGGGTAATCGGGAAGTGAGAAAACCTCGAGGATGGAATCTATACCTGTGGAAATGGGACTTAACGTGCCGGCTAAATACACCACGGGTTTCAGATATCCTAATCTCGCTAGGCAGGGAGTTCCACATGGTGATCATGGAATGTAGTAGAGTGGATCGGAAACAGGGACCAGTGTGAGTGGGCTAGTAGTTTCAACAGCAGCCTAATGCAATGGTCTGCTCTGTGGGCCATGTGATAAATTTGTTATCGCATGGTTGCTGCGGGCCTTATGGCATATTATTGCCCCTCGAGGTTCTCGAGGGGCAATAATCATGATAATATGCCACCCTCGCAACCATGTGCGATATAAACATATACGTACATAACTCTATGTACTCTCGGTATCCATGTGACTTGTGAGGCCACGTACATGTACCGTGTACGTAGTAGACTGGTATGGTGTACTCGGACCTACATGCAGCATGTAGATCTACCATGATGACGTACATAGCTCTGTGGGTCTTGGTCGTGGCTCAGTAGCACACGACTTCTCCGTATGCAGTCTACAGTCATTAGCCGTACCGGGCCTGCATGCCTGGAGACTGGAGTACTGTAAACCACTGTCTGTAAACGGTTTCATTGGCTGCAAGGTGCAAACACAAGAGTAGAGAGAAAAAGTAACATTATGCTATCTAGGGGCCCGTGGGGGGGGGGGATGCCCAGACTGAGTGGATCCGGCCATCAGACTGACCCGACCCCCCCCCCCCCCATAAGTGTGGGCTCGGCGAGGGCCATGGAAGCCATCTGGTCCACGGGGCTGGAAAGCTTTGCACTGGAGTGCACCCTGGGCACTACAGTGAGTTGCCAGGCTCTATTATGCAACTCAGTGGCATCGTACTCATTACAATGGCAAGTCACGCAGTGAACTTAGGCAGCTAGCCGGCAATAATACGAGTACTCGTATATCCAGGCATTATCCAGCATCATAGCCCGGCATGTGCATACATGTATGTGGCGCATAATTATTCAGTTTTATTGTTTTACATTTATCTAGAGCACATGCTCAATCCGTGTGCAAGGTTGATTGTTATCCCTTGCACGTATCCGGGCCTGTGCCCTTTCCCGTCAGTGTTATACTGTATTTCATCAAATCATTTAAAGTGCCGAGTGTGTATGAGTTGCCAGGCTCCATGCATAACAAATTTCAATTAACAATAAGGGTCATCATGATAGCCATACCCCCCCCCCCCCCCCCCATAGCCTAGGGTGCCGTGAAACTGGACTGCACCAGGCACTGCTGCCTGTACTGCGAGTCAAGCCTTCCAAAGGCTGCGTGTCATGTGGGTCACCGTGGGTAAGCCGGTTCGAAGGGTGCATGCATGGTGGGGCGGTAGACTCTACAATGAGCCTAGTCATGGCCCCTCAGGAGGCACATATACAGTCATGTAACTATAGTTCTGAAATGAAATGAAATCTGAGTTTGTGCCTCGCATCGTTTCACACGCATATCCCAGTGTTCACAGATCCGCTCAGTAAAGGCTGCACAGCGCCGGGTGTGTATTCACGGAGATAGGATCTCCGAGCGGCTCATTGAGCAGCACCGTATAGCCGTTTAACCATGACTAAATCAAACCGGCATCGTGAGAATAAAGATTTGAGACTATTAGTCAGAGAAACCATGAAAAGGAGGGGGAGAAGGAGGGGTACAATGGTCAACCAAGTGGGTTAATTATGGTCCGTGGGGCTTGCAGGCGCTTACTGCGTGTTCTCAACTGAATAGGGTATTCTGATAGATATTGCTCAAGTAAGCCGCCAAAGTGATTCAGGTAAGAAAGCATTTCCTATACAAATAGATTGCAATTGTATGCACAATCCAGTTTGTACTCAGTATGATGCTTACTACTAGCAACAGTGACTCGGAAACCGGTTGGAATGTACTTGAAGTAGGTTAGTGGTAACAAGTTCCTACAGATCGTGATGTTATCACGAAGAAGCTGACCTTGGTCAAGCAGCAGTGGTGACGTTGAAGTAGGCGGTGTACTCTTCGTCCACAACAGCATTCAATGGTACCAACAAGTACTTTCGATTCTTGCCTGTAGCAATGAAGCTGTAGCTCTTATACAGCGTATTGGCGTCAGCCATTATGAATGTGCTGCTGGTGATGAATGCACTGTGCTCACCAGCATCAGCGGGGATTTCTTGAAGAGTAACTGCAGAGTTCTTTGTTTTGTATGTAGAGACGTAATCGTCACCTTGCTTCAGCATCACCGTACTGTTGGAGGCGGAAGAGGACACAACGCTAAAGCGGCACTTCTCCTGGAACGCACTGCTGCCATCATCTTGCAGCAGAGCAAGCTGTTGATTCAAACCTGCACTGCTGACGAAGTACCCGGGATAGTTAAAAGATTCTACCACCACCACAGCCATTGAATCCCCAGTTGCTGCATTGGTAGAAATGACGCGGAAAGTCGAGTCTGGCTGGAATGTTCCCTGTGTCGGATCTGCGGGCATGGTTGTATACCAGAGTTCGAATCCTGAATGATGGAAGTACATACGAGATGGGCTGCTGCCAGATAGCTGGAATGAGTGGAGATTGTCCGAGTACGGTGCTGGTGAGATCCATTTGCTAACATCACCATGATCACCCTCAAGAGTCAGTGACCGGTCGCCCGTTGTCATGCCAACCAGAAGAAGAGGTCCATAGAAGATGGCCGTCAATGACCTGTACATGGGACGATCGTCGAGAATCCCCTCCGTGTGAAGTTTAGGGGTGAATGAGATGGAGATCATGGTGCCCACTATCCAGAGCTGAGTCAAGTTTGCATAGCTGCCAGGCATAGCTTGCCCAGCGAATGGCTGGTTGTTCACTTTGATACTAACTTGACTTGTCCACATTGGGATTCTCAGCATAATGGTGGCATTGAAATGGATCATTAGTCCAGTTGGGCTGACAAGTTGCAGAGTAGCTTCGGGCGGAGGCATAACTTTAGAACGGCCAGACCACTCAGGGACAGGAAAGTTTGACTTGAGTTCAGCATAGATTGCCTGAGACGGGTCCCAGTGCAACATGGAGTTGACATACTGATTGACATACAGTGTGTTGTTCGTCTTAAAGAAGATGGAATCGGTCAGCTTGGAGAAGCTCTCCACCGCAGTGCCATAGCAGCACCAGAAACTGTCGAACGGCGTTCCCCAGCCGTGAGCAGCAGCAGGCTTGCTATTGCCTGCGCCAAGTGGCAGCATGTAGAGAGACACGCCGGGGTTTCCTGGCCGCTGTACTCCCATGATACCATTGAGCAGCGCACGTTCATAGAAGTCGGCCAGCGCGGCACTGCCGGTCCACTTGAATAGATGCCGTGCCACTTTCAAGATGTTGTATGTTGTGCACGTCTCCTCGGTTGCTGGCTGTGCACACACGGGGCAAGCAAAGAAGAAAAAAGCATACAGTCTACTCGCGATCAGTCACGCACCCTGTCTTGAAGACAAAAATGCGCGGCTTATCACGAGTGCGCGACTTACACTATAGTATACGTATAGAAAAGTAAGATTTAGCGCTAAATTTGTCATGCTTGTGGCCCTATGTGTTTATAAGCATACTGTTGGGTAGACCCGAGTATCAGTTGTCAGATGATTGCCTAGCGGCATGAAACTCAGAATTACAACCAACCTGAACGTCCTCCGCTGAGTCTGCTATATACAAAAGTATATAGTAGCCTATTGGTGGGAGTGTGCAATGTAATGTGTGTACAGTCGGAGACTTGAACACAGTCTGCACTTTCCACACTTCAATAACGAAGTATACATGTACTTACCGAATACATGTACATGTAGTGTCACGCAGGTGGAACCACCAAACTATGCTACTCATACGGTCTCCTGATGTATACTCTTCCTGCATGAAGCTCAGTGGCGGATTCAGGGGTTCCGCGGGACCGCCTGAATTTCGTAAATGTACTACTGCATGGTAACCATAATCATGTGTGTCCATGTACATGTATCAGCTATTCAGTTTCGACCATACTGGAACCCCCCTGTAGAGATCGCTGATGCCCTGGTAAAGCAAATCACTGATATAACCCCTATGCAACTCACCATTGGTGCTTTGGTGTGATGGGTGGAAGACACCCACACACTGCAGCACCATGCATACCAGATACTAGTACATGTACGTACCCCGAGTGTGTCCCCAAGGCGATGGGGTTTCCCCCAGTGCTCTCCACTATTGCTTCCTCCTGTCGCATAGCTGCGAGTAGCGTTGATCAGGTGTAGGAAATACGTCACAATGTCCGAGTATGTGGGATCTTGCAGAACTTCAAATCTTTCAAAAAAAGTGCACAAACACACACACACACACACACACACACACACACACACACACATGCAAACACATGCACACACATGCACACACACACACACACACACACACACACACACACACACACACACTCACAAACACACATACACACACACACACACACACACACACACACACACACATGCATGACACCATTGCATTAGGGGTTATTACCATGGACGCCTGGGACATGTGTTGCTCCCACCAGACCCAGCTCCTGATTTGGAGATAAATGTCAATTGTCAATGCTTCACTGTCAGACGGTGAACTTCGGATATGAATGAGGCATGATGTTGGGCCGAATGGTGCCTACCTCCTCGCAGCTCCGATGACTTCCGGGATGTGAGTGTTTGCATGAAGTCCGGTGAGCAGGTCCGCATTGACAGCCAATGGCCCCATCAGAACCGGCTTGTCAAAGAGATGCGCAAAGTCCGCCAGATCAGCCTCTCCAGTTTCCTTGTATAGGTTGTAGAGAACTTCATTCATGCCTCCGAACTCGTCGTTGATGATCTGCTCCCACAGTGCTGATGTGTTCTGTGCAATGACGCGTGTGGCACGTGCATAGAAGTACTTGGCAATAGCCACGGCCATGTTCAGCGAATCAGGATTGCTAGCGAGGCGATGCTGATCGAATAGCCCGGCCATGATCTTGTGAATAGTGTAGTATGGAGCCCACACACCTTTCAGGTTCTCTAGTCGGTCAAACCAGGACGTGGGGAAAGCTGAAAGGTAGCCTGTCTTCATGGCATCTTGGCATTTCTTCAGCTCAGAAACTACATAGTCCATGTTCTTCTTGATCTGCAGAAATGTCACAACGGAAAGGAAAAAGAGTGAGCGCAGTTTTGTAATTCAGTCATCCCTGTCTGGGCCAAGGTAGTCCTCTTGGAAAGAATGCTTTGTGCCAATGAGGATGGCCTGGTGGGGGGGGGGGGGGGGGAGATGGGCCAGGATCTGGATTGAGGTATCCATGTCAATGTCGAGTGGTACGGCAGCCATGCGCTTGCATTATGTGCAGCAAATGGATGTGAGAGGCAGGCAATGCATGGGCTGGCTTTGATGTGCCACAACGATATCTGCAGAGAACAAATATAATGATTGTCATTATTTTTGTTCATTGCAGATCGTTGCGTCATGTACATATTCTTGGTGAGGCAGACACACCTCTTCGCATCCCTGTTCACACACACACACACACATACACACACACACACACACACACACACACACACACACACACACACACACACGCGTGCACACACACATGCACACACACATGCACACACACATGCACACAGACGTGTGTGCGCATGCAAGGGTCCCCCCCCCCCACACACACAAGCATACACTAGGCTACAACAGTTACAGCACTAGTTGCAGCCAGGTCGGTCTCTTACCGTTGCATTTTGTGTGGAAGCCCGCATCATTGCTGTTGCGCTCAGGTAATGACCAACAAAATGACCTCGAAGCTCAACGTCCGGTGCCTCCCATCCACCATAAGGCTGAGCTCCTTGAGTGCTAAGGTTTGCAGTCACACGAAAACTGTACAGCAACCTATCTGGTTCAAGCATCAGCAAATACTCCAAGTTTAGCTCTGTGGCTTGCATGAAAGCGGATCCCATCGTCAACTGCACATCGACCATCGGAAACTCCTCAATGTTTAGCTGTCCTGCGCCTTGATGGGACGCAAGAGCAACAGTCGTGCTAGTGAGCAACGCGGCCATAGCCAGCATGTTCGGACTCATTTTGAGATCGTAGGCGTTCCTGCCCTCCCAGAGAAATCGCGAGGAATACCGGCGACGTGATCGTGTCCGGCAATGAGAAGGATTTGCTTTTAGCAGCAAACTACGGTGATGCCTTGCGAGCCACCATCCGGTGCATGGGAGAAAGGTAACCAACCACCAGCTGAGCAAGCAGCCAAATCTGAGTAAATTATTGCCGAGTTCTTCGTCGTCCCTCCAGTTCCAACGTTAGATAATGGTATACCAGACTGCGAAGTGTATTTCTCTTTCCTGCAACGTTGTTCTGCTTTTCGAGATTGATGACTGCACGTCACGGTCTGTACATAGGCACTATAAAATGTAGTAGCACCGTTGCGATCGATTGCCGTCATTGCAAGTCGCTTTCTCCTTACTTTCTCTCATGACATTGTATAGCCATGATTACTTGTTGGCTGCTGTCGAGAATGGCAGACTTCGAATCCGAGGGTGCAACAAGCAAACCATTGGGATTGACAGGTAATCGCGTGATGTGGCGACCGATGCTGCAGCTGGCATCAGGCTGTGTGACTGTCAGTGTGTTTTGTTGTTCGCTACTCTGACTTGACCCAGACAGCGACTGGAGGAAAGGATCGGAAGCAAGAGTCGAACTCGTTCCGGATATGTTTTGGTGAAGAAGTTGCTAACGCGAACATAGTATGTCAGTCTGTATACTGAGTGACGTCCTCTTTCGGACAAAGGCAAGATTGTTACAAGATCTGATGTGGTCACCAGAATCCCGAACGGCTGAAGCTGTAGGGGAACATACCGTTAGTCGGGACTTGAAGGAATCATGGCGCTGCAAAATCGACTACTACTGGTAGTAGTAATAGCTGATGATCTTTGTCCACTACTTGTCACTGAACAACAGGTTCACCTGACAGTGTAGAAACGAAAAGAGAGAGAGAGAGCTGGTGTCCGTGAAAACGGGATCATGGCGGTGCAGCATCCTATCCCCGACGGGTTTGTTCGCTGGTAGATGGTATCTCCGAGTGCAGTACACCGCCGGTCAATCCAAGCGCACGACAGCAACATAATTATTATTGAGGTGTTTTTGATGGTAGATGTGCAGTTGACAATGCAAGCCACGGAGTTAAACTTTGACTGTGCTGATGCTTAGTGGAACCAGATGCCATGGATACTATTACTAAGTTATTACCAGTAGGTTGCTGTGGAATTTCCATGTGAACGCCAACCTCAGTACTGTACTCATGGCATGGCAGGGGGTGCAACCATTATGGTGGATGGAGCAGCACCCGCCGTTGAAGTTTGTAGGCATTTTGCAGGCCCGGCAATAGCTATGATGTGGGCCTCTACGCACAATGCTACCGTAACTAACGGCGTAAGAATTGACTAAATTACTTCCGGGTGTGTCCGGGAACACTCCGCATGTACAATATTGTACATGACTGCACACACATGCACATTGTTCACATTTTCTTCACCATGCTTATATCAATGCTGCTACTTTCATTGCTAACCCGCAGTCACAATGACAAATACTGCATTTTCACTTGAAGATGGCATGGTAATTAATTTTAGTTCATCCAATGCATACTTGAGCAGCATAGTGATCATACACGTGAGTGAGTCGAGAGTGAAAACGATGAAAAATAGAGCGGATACGTGCGCATCACTTGGGACGGAGTGTAAAAGCGGCAAGAAAAGGCACAACCCGGCAACTGTCTAGATACAGTGAAGGACTAAATCGGCACAGCGGCAAAACGTGTCAGTAACATGTATAACATAAGAAGAGCCAGCATGCTCGGACCAATGGCAAAAAAAACAGCCCCAGTGCTAGATCTAATCTAGTCCATAGTGATAAAATAACATACAGCATCCTAGTATCTAATATGGCTCACTACTCCACATAAAGAGATATAAAAATTTAAAACAGAGCATTTCCAGCAGGTACGTAAAAACAGAAATAAATTGTGGCGGTATCGAAATAGCAAATAAAACTCCACGGGTTACGCAAAACGCAAGTGCTACAACTGTAGTAGAATGAATAAGTTACATATGCCAGAGTAAAACACAAAATAATGTCTAGCTCTTCAGTCTGCTGCATGCTGTTTCATCATGTCTGACGGGATAGTACCAGTGCAACGCGATTTGGAATATAAACCTGAGAGGTGAGAATGGAGAGAGAGAGAGAGAGAGAGAGAGAGAGAGAGAGAGAGAGAGAGAGAACACGCACACGTGCACACACAAAGAGACAACAGTGAAAAAATTGCACGATACAAACACATGTACAGTTGCATCCCACTCCATGTACTTCGAATATGGTGTAATCTGAATATTCGACCATTTCAAAGTAGGGAGATTTAGGGGCGTTCGTTTTTGATCCACATGTTTGGGTAGAAACTACTTCTTTCGGGAGAGGTGTTCGTTTCTGAAAAAAAATTCTACTCAAAAGGGTAGATTCTACTTTCCTCTTCCGGCTCTACTAGGAAAAGTTGGTAGAATCCGGTAGAAGTTGGTAGAGCTACGGGATTTCCAGCAAGATCAAGGATTTGTACACAACTCCATCCAAAAAAGGAACATTTCACGTAAACATCGTGTAAACTACTAAATCCGGTAGAACAGCGTTCGTACACTTGCCTCTACCATCTAACTCTATCGGTAGAGTGACTCTACTCTACTCTACCAGGTAGCTAAAAACGAACGCAGCCTTGGTCATACTTATTCTGCGTGAACTTTACGTGTGTGTACCATGTGATACTCAGTGACATACGGACTAGTCAGTGCATTCCCAAGTTGATGTCATTCTTGACGCCCCTGCCTAAACTCATTAAAGCACATCGTGACTGAGCCCACTTCAAGTACCCCCCCCCCCCCCCAACCCATCCACACACACAAATCAGTCTCTGAAAGTGCTGTGCCTACCTGCACACGGTTGGCTCGGTTGTCGTACGGCTCAGGAGCGGTGAAAAACTCCGTACCTAGCTGAACGCGGTTGTGACCACCAAACTCCTCTGCATCACTGCACAAGGCAATCGTATATCTGGTAACACAGAGAGCTGTCAAGGAACACACAACATATACCCCCTTTTTTTCTTTTTCACTTGATCACTTTAGTTCCGTGTTTCCACTGATGATCGGAGCTTGAAAATCGATTCCGAAAATACACAGTTTCAAACCCCTAACAAATTGTCATGTTGCGTGGTGATGTCTGCAGCATTCGTACTTTTCATAGCTAATACTATACCGGTATACCATTGAAGCAGCTGCAACGCACACACATTCAGACACGCACGCACGCACACAGGCACACGTGTACTTGTACTTGCTTTTTACTTTTATCTCGCTTACTGACAAAGGTGGCAGGTGCCACAATACACCTCAAGCAGCCGAGCCTGATCAGTGTTGGCAACAGACCCAACAATATCTGGCATAAGTGTACCCACCAACCGAACTAGCTGGCACACACATACACACACACACATACATGAAGACAGTGGCAAGACAGACATGAAGACGGTGGCAAGACACACATGAAAACACACACAATAAGTACACGGTATTGCAAAGGATACTTTCCAGCAGCATCGACACCGACTGAATAGTCGGGGAAGCTCTTGTGCGAATGGAAATTGAAAATGAAGAGCAGTCCATGTCGCTCAAAGACAACAATCTTGTCATCCTCATGCTTGCGGCTGACGTATGCTTGTGGAGCTGAGAGGAAATCATGCTGCTTATCCAAATGCTGCATGGCCCTGTCAAATGCATTCAGATACTTGTAGCGCAGCAATTCATCATCCGCCAAGTTCCACTGGCGACGCGCGTAGTGATAGCTCTGCACAAGTACACACAAGTTCACACAAGTAAACACTTTTGACCTTTCGACGTGCATCGCCGGAGGCGATGATAGCGATGCTACAGCAGAAGCCACAGCAACTTGTGCCAGAAAAAAGTACACACACGTACACAAACATGTGCACACACGCACACAAACATGTACACACACGTACACACACACAAGCACCGTATAACGATGTTACACAGCTCATCGCAGTCGAATTCGATACCAATATTAATCTGCACAGTAGCCGCACCTATTCAACACCTCATCACTGTCAATCAACACAAGAGCTTACTTCATTGTTACCGAGACGGGGGAAATCCAGCCACTCCGGATGCCCAAACTCGTTGCCGATGAACGTCAGGTAGCCCTCACCACCCAGACCCATGGTGATCAGGCGTATCATCTTGTGGAGTGCCATGCCTCGCTCAATGCTGGGAGTCAATGTTGACAGCGTGGACATGTTGCTGTACATTTCGGCGTCCATCAACCAGAACGCCAACGTTTTGTCACCAACTAGTGCCTGATCGTGGCTCTCGGCGTACGCTATCACTTTCTCACCGTGCCGGCGGTTGGTCAGCGTGAAGACAATGTTGCCCATGCTCCAGTCCTCGTCTCTCTCTTCTTTCAGGTACTGCAGGCAGCCAGTGCAATAACAAACAGCAACTACGTCCCATGTATCAGCAACAACAATGTTACATGATTTCTGTTATCCAAAGGTTTGAAACACAAGAAAACGTCACGCTGGTATCGAGATAGACAGTCCAGAATCAACTGGCTGCAGCTTCAAAATGATTGAAAGTAACGGAAATGGTCATTAGTGTGCACCAATGCCGGTCAAGAAGATCCCGTGGCTCTGCATGAACGCACGCACGCGCACACACGCACGCACGCACACACACACACACACACACACACACACACTAGTCGTGCACATGTGTGCGGACTGTTCCCCTGTGCCACTTCCTACCTTGATCCACTTGTCTGGAATAGCCATGGCGAGGCGATAATCAAAGCCAAGACCTGCTTCAGCAACTGGTCGACACGTTGCCGGCATGCCAGATACATCCTACAGAGATCAGGTACAACAACAACAACAACAACAACAACAACAACAGGAGAGAGCAGTGTTGAAACAAGAACCATTAAGAAAATGGACATCCAAAGGGATTGTTATTTCCCAGCTATAATATTCCAATTAGATCGCGTCCATTTCAGATTTGGTTTAAACAGAATACAACCCTGAACTAAACTACCTCTATTGACTATTGTTCTGCATAGTGCTGTCCTCGCAGTCACGTGTGTGAAATAGCAATGTCAACACGCTCTATTCTGTAGTTCAAGGTTGCACTGTGCACCGTGCATACATTAGAAAGCAAGGAATCTTACCATGATGATTCAATACTCAGGGCCCTCTCCAGTGACTTGTGCAGAGCAAATTTCCATGACCACCAATCTAAGCTTCGTCTCTCTCTGTCTCTGTCTCTCTCCGAATAGCCTGTATGCTGCACACACTTTACTTCACATTTCATTTCACAAAAATTCTCTGGTACAACCAGTTGAGAGAGAGAGAGAGAGAGAGAGAGAGAGAGAGAGAGAGAGAGAGAGAGAGAGAGAGAGAGAGCCAGGGAGATACCAGGAAATCCAATACTACTGGCTGCAGCAGACAACACTCTTACCTCCGCCACAGTAACGACACCAGGGTAGAGAGTGTGCAGCATCTCATTGGCGAGCATAAGATAGACGAGAGCGTCCGTGTCCACACTCATGTTGAAGTACTCGTGGTAGCCACCAGAGAAACCAGTACCGATGCCATGGTGGTGATAGAGCATACTGGTCACGCCATCAAAGCGGAAGCCATCGAAGCGAAACACCTCCATGTAATAGCGCAAGTTGGACAGGAGGAATCTCAGCACTTCCCACCTGCATTTGTCAAAACATGCAAAATGGGATTGTACCGTAAGATAGCACAACTGTGAAGGGTATTGTGTGAAGGGTATTTCCGAAAGAGTATAAGCCGCTAGAAAACATGCTCAGATCCGGTACAGAGTGGGATATCCGGTCAGTCAAGCATTGATACGCAAGGCAATGTAATATGAATGACACTACAGTACTATTCAAGGACATCTTAACATGCGCGGCAAATAGCAGCGGGTGTGGCCAGCCTCAGACCTGCTAACACTGCGCTGTACTCTGGTGGAGGGCGCAACACATTCATGAGTTCAGGTTTCATTGGCCAGGACTGCAGAACTCGGTTCCTTATGAACACGGAGGAAGCATAATGTTAACAATAGATAGGACAGATGAGTGCAAACCAAATCCACAGCTTACTGCTGGTAGTTGAAGAGTCGACTGTCCCATAGACTATGCTCACCGCGAGCGCCATCATGGAAGTAACAGGTATTGGTGCCATCAAACTGATTCAGCCCATCCTGGACATTCTTGCTGGCGTGGCTGTGCACAATGTCCAGCAATACTACCAACCCATGACCATGGGCCACATCCACCAGACGCTGCAGTTCGCTAGGTGTTCCGTATCGACTGCAGGCGAGGACAATATACGAGAGACGACAGCAAACACATACGCACATCTGAAGAGACAGCCACCGAGAGAGCAGCCACAAACCAGCTGTTGGGTACATGAGCCATTCTTCAATCTCAAAAGGCCAATATCCAAGGCGATGCAAATACAATCATAGGTAGGTAGGTAGATAGAGAAGACCACGAGAACATAACTCCCAAGAGTGTACAACTCAGAACTGCCTGCCTGCACCCACTCACTCACACCCACACTCACACCCACACACACAGACACACAGCCACACAGACACACACTCACACAGACACACACTCACACACAGACACACACTCACACACCTACCCACCCACACACAATGCGAGTACATTACCCGGATTCAGGATATGCAATCAAGTCATTCAAGTAGTAGCCATACAGAAAGGTACACACCTTGACGCAGCAAAAAAGCTTGTTATCTGATAGCCAAACGATCCATAGTACGCATGCTCCATGATGGCCATCAATTGAATGGCATTGTAGCCAAGCTTAGCGATGCGCGGCACCACGTTGTCAGCAAAGTAGGCGTAGGTCGAGACGTGGCCGTCAGGTGACGCAATTCCAACGTGAGCTTCGTAGATGCGAAGAGCCGCTGGAGCCGGACCCTGCTTGCACGGGTGGTCATGGACAAACGTGTACGGCTCGCTGGGGCGATAATGAACAGCCTCGTACATGCAAGCTTCCTTGTTGAAGGTTGCATACTTGCACCAAGGTGACAGACGGAAAATCGTGTCACCAGTCTCTGTTGTTATACATACCTACAGACCGAACAAAAACAAAATCGACAACAAACACACATATTGCATGAACGCGGAAAAATAAGTGTAACTGGCTCTCGCGCACTCTGCAGTTGTTTTAGGGCTGTCATTCAGCATTGGGTATCTCCTCAGTTGCCCAACAATCTGTCGGGAAGACATGGCCTCATAGTGCCGGGTGGATAATGAACTTCTCCATAGCAAATAACACCTACAGTCAAGCCTCTTTAGGACGAACACCAAGGGACCGATGGTATTTGTTCGCCATACCAGGAGTTCTTCATATCCATATGTTACACCCAGGAAATAGTATACACAGTGATCCAGCTAATAGAGTTACGGAAACTAGTTCTTCTAAAGCGAAAGTTTGTCTTATCAGTGTTCTTCTCAACGGCGTTTCACTGCAGAAAGTATAACAAGTATAGTACACAGAACAGCGAGTGTACAGTACTACTGAAACAGAAAACTAATTGTCCCTCCCCTGCCGGCAAGTTGGGCACGAAGGAAAAGCAGCGTACCTTGAAGCGTGATCCATGAGGTACTTGTGGCTGTCCATTATCAAGAAGTGGTAGCACAATCTCCCACTTGCCAAACTCCTTCTGCCGACACACGTGACTGCTGGGATTCCAGTTATCTAACAAATGCATAGCATGCGAGCGCGCACACACACACACGCGCACACACACACACGCGCACACACACACACACACGCACACACACACTCAGATATGCCCATCGCGGAAGCGATGATAGCGAACAGCTATGTTAGACATAGTAACTTGTGCTGGGATTACACCATTCAACAGCTTGCAAGGCCGATGAATTGACCACCACTAATTTTAGCCTGGTATCCACCACACAGCTGATTGAAGTGACTTTTTTCTGGCCAGTGAATCCCTTTTTTCATTTTTACACACACACACACACACACACCACACATACCAGGGCCGGAGGCTGCTTCCGCGGAGCGGTGCGGCCGAAGGGCCATCTTTAAGGGGGGTCTGGGGCTCCTCCCCCAGAAATTTTTTGGAATTTAGACGGCAAATCCTGCACTCTGGGCGACTCCCTGTACAAAATCATACATCGAGACTTTTTCTCCCCGGTTTTGGACATTCCACGTGGACCGACTTTTTTTTTGTTTTTTTTGGTACGGCCATGGGCGTACCGGCCGTACCAGTGGCGCCGGCCCTGCATGATACACACACACACACCACACACACACACACCTTGACCTTGATACACGTTGCCTTGATAGGTTACACGGTCCCCGTCAGGGGAGAGGGGTGGAAGAGGCTGAGGAGCAGTACTTTTGATGGCGCACTAGATGGTGACGTAGTCGGAACTTCCTTTGGCAAGGGCACTCAAACGGGAAGTCGGCCCTTTCCGACACTGTCCTACGTTTCGTGCGGTCGCACTTGTGTCTGGCCAAGCTGCTGCTGGACTTGAAACTCCGGTGGCAGGTGCTGCACTGCGGAGTGACCGGGTTGCCGGGGTGCTCGATGTTGGGAGCAGGTCCGTAATCGCACCGATGGGTAGCCAATCCACCGGGGCTGCGGAACCAACGTTGGCAGAGACGGCATTGGCAAGCGCCAGCCTGATTGCACACTGGTTTCTGCCGTTCTGCCAAGCATTTGTGACGCTTCTCACCTGATGGGCGAGAGAAGTACCGATCACATACTTCGAAGTACTTGGCAATGGACATTGGGTGTGGGCGGTTCGGGCTCGAAACAGCGGTACATGCGGCGCCAGTCGGGGCGAGAATCTGCCAGATCGTACCATCCCTCCACAGCATTCAGGGCCTTCAGGTCTGCACTAATGCAGTCCTTCCAGAGTTTGCGTGGACCGCCAGGTGGACGGCGGGATGGGAGCAGACCGAACAACAGAATCTTCGGGATGCGCTCTGGTGGCATGCGAGCAACATGACCCAGCCACTCAAGTCGTCGCTGGCGAATCCGGACAGCAAGTGGGCGCTTGTCGCCCCACATTTCCAGCAACTGATCATTGCTGATCCGCTCTTGCCAGGCGTCTAACCTTGTTATGCCAAGAATGGTACGCAGACACTGCATGTAGAATGTGGAGGGCCTCCGGATGTCGGCTTGGAGGGGTACCCAGCACTCAGCTCCGTACAGCAGAATGGTGACAACGCACGCATTGAAGATATTCTTCTTGGTGCGGGCGGACAGATGGTGGTTGTTGAAAACTGGCTTCCGCAGGGAGCCAAACGCACGGGAGGCAGCCGCAATTCTGGAGGAGATGTCAATCAAACACCGGCCAGACGTATCGATGATCGACCCAAGGTAGCGAAACTCCGTTACGCACTCGATCTGGTTCAAACCAACACAAACAGGGGCGAGGTCCGCATCAGAAATGTCTCTGCCGATCACCATGAACTTGGTCTTGGAGAGACTAACTGTCAGTCCAAACTCGGAGGCGACTTCATCGAATGTCACTGCAGCTCGCTCGAGCCCGGATCGAGATGTCGCAAACAGTGTGGAATCATCCGCAAACTGGCATTCAGTTACGGTGTCTGACACTGCTGTGCGACGAGGCTTCTGCATTAGCTGACCATTGATGTTGTAGCGGTTATCGACACCGAAGCCATCCACGCCTTCCATCCGCTGCTTCCAGGTATGAAAGACAGCAGCCATGTACAGGTTGAAAAGGACCGGTGCCATGGAGCAGCCCTGGCGCAGGCCATTCTGTACCTCTAGCGGGTCCAACAGCCGACCATCAATGCGTAGACACGTCTCCATGTCCTTATGGAATGCTCTGATAATGCTGACCAGTTTCTCCGGTACACCGAGACGGAGGAGAACAGCCCAAAGCGCGGCACGGGGGACGCTGTCGTATGCCTTCTTCAGGTCGATGAACAGTAAGAAGGCTCTGTCATGATGTTCCAAGACCTTCTCGCTGATCTGGCGTACAGAGAAGATCATATCAGTGCAGGATCTAGCGCGGCGAAATCCACACTGGGAATCAGGAAGGACTTCTTCAGCCACTGTCTGCAGCCGGGTTTGGACAACGCGAGCGACCACCTTGCCGACCACATCCAGCAGAGCCACACACACACACACATCTATCAGCACACTTGCACGCGATTTCAATCAACAGAAAATCGAACAAACTATAACATCCTATTGCTAATACCGGGGTATAAAATGCCATGCGTTTGAAATTTTGAATGGAATTTAATTATTTTCAAAATCAAACAATGGAAATGTCAAAAATGGCAAATACCGTATATTCTCTATTATAAGCACAGGTCTCCATTACTAGCACAGTCTCTAATACTAGCACACTGTGAGCACCTTTCGAAACATTATAACCACGGTCTCTATTATTAGCACGGTCTTGGTGGAAATCAATGCGGCATGCATGATATCTAGCACGTATTTCTTCTTGCCCTGTATGGATGTATTGGTTGAAAAAATATAAGCACGGTCTCCAATATAAGCGCGGTCTCCAATATAAGCACGGGGTAGAGGGGTGTTGAAAAAATATAAGCACGGCGCTTATAATAGAGAATATACGGTATATACTCACTGAAGTCCCCCACCAGACTAACTGCTCTTGCTGTTGGAACCCATTCCTGGTACACCTGAGAGCCATCTGGCTTGTCAATCAGACCAAGCTCCTCATATCCACGACTGAACGACTCTAAATCATGACCAGCGTCCGACAATTTCTTGATCCATTTCGAAAATTGAGTGTATCTAAAGGAGACGAACACAGATAGTAGATTCGATGTAAAGAAATGACATGCGCCTTCGACTGCAAGATCGCAGGAGGCTTACCTCAAGCACAGGTCATGCTTGTGGTCCTTCAGGTAGGGATCCAAAGAGAGCAAGTCGTCGAGACGAGGAGCTTCAATGGACACTTCGTTCTTCTCCACCGACGCCATGCTTGGGTACCATGGTGACTTGAAACCGAACACTCTTCGAATGGCGGGAGTGGAATAAACTTGGGGAATCCCCTTCTCATTTGCAACATGTTTTATGAATTATGTACCCGCGAGCTGCAAGACTACAATTTTGTAGTGTTTTGTTTTCGAATTCTGGTCTGAAAGCTGGAGACAAGGACTTTGCTTTGTCTTTGCGAAGATTGATTTGAGGTCATCATGGATGACAGTGAGAAACACACACCGGGACCGTCCAGTGACAGCGACGATGAGTTGCCATCTATGAGCGACGTCCTTTGGTCACCAACGTAAGATTTAATTCCATCGATTGTACTGTATGAGAATTGCATTACATGACATTGTACGGCCACACATGTGCATATGTGCAGAAAGAAATCGATGTTGTCCTCATAAGCATGGTTTTCGTAACGAAATGGGCTACCGTAACTTAGTCATGGAATTTATTCACGCACGGAGTATAAATACTATAGAATAATACTAGTGGAGAACCCAGGGAGACTCATTCATTGCAGGAAAAAGCAATTCTCATTGAACATCAGAATAGTATATCACAACACCAACACATTGCCATTTTGTGAGTGTGTTGGCAGGTTTCATGCATTGTCAAAGCAGGGCCTAGTTGAATAGGCCCTCTTACAAGGTCTTCACTGATCACTTTACTGAAGTCTTGATGCCAGTGTGTTCTTTTTAGTCCCCACAAATATAATACTGTGCAACAATGTTTGCACACTATTCATTGCATGCACTTCAAAGTACTCTACTCCCTTGCCCATTACGTGACTATGGCCTCTGTTTTGATGCCAGTGGAGTTCTTTACCACTTGGAATACTATCACTGGAGCGTCTGCTCTTCCTATGAAGCCGAGACCGTAGGTCAGCCACGGATTGCAGACCTCTCCAGCACAATGCTCTCATACTACACAATGGGGGCAAACCTCTTGCCTTTGAGTTGTGCACCAAGTAGAAAATGCTACGTTCTACAATGTAGAGTTCAATTTTCCTGGCCATGGATCACATTTTCGCAACTTGAGACTGACGCACGACTAGCACACAAGGAGCACATTGGACATTCCACTCGGCCACAATGTCCAGCCTGCAAGAAAGCACCACTCCCTGCTCGACACACAGTGTTCCGGGCAATTCACCCCTTATCAGTTGAGCTTGAGTAGGCTACTGAAATGTGTGCTGCAGGAGTACCGCATTATTTAGTGGGATTGCCGTCATGAATCAGTCAAGCATGCATGATCTACAGCGTTAGGAGCAGCTATCTTCTAATGAATTATTATCACCACCAAAGTTACAACATATCAGTTCACATTATAATGACGGCTTTGTTCACTCCCAAAGCTGCAAATGACCACAAGGGTGAAGCGCCAATCAATGAAAAATTATTATTATTCGTCAGATTGAAGGAATGACAAACGTATTGTTAAAATAGTTGGCGTGAGAGCTCTTTGCTTTTATGGCATGTGCACAGGATGAGCATTGCACTTATATAGTCCACTATGGTTTCTCTGTTTTTGGTTGATCTGTGCTTGGCATCAGCAAACCAGCACCACTGCGTTCGCCGATAAAGACAAGAGCCCAGGCAACGGCCAGCAGTCAGACGGCTTCTGAGCAAATGCTGGTAAGGCGTGCCGCTTGTCTCACTTGATACAGTCAACGTAGCGGGTATAACGACGACTCGCTAATAATGTCACTATCTTCAGACCTAGTGACCATCTGACTGCATGCTTTCAACCGCATGAATAGCGACACACCGCTCTGACAAGGACACTTTTTTCTCATACACGGTCGAGGGTCGTTATTCGCAAGGTTGACTGTAGTTATGTGTGCCCTTTGTCAGTTGCAAAAAAGTCTTGACAGCACATTCGAGGACACTTATCAAACATACACAGCACGTTGCAGTCTGTGTTGTTTAGTACAGTGCTCACAAACAGCATAGTAATCCACCTTACGTGGTGTATTGTCCTCCACTTTTATTTGTTTTTTCGTTTGTTTTTGTTTTCCGTGCACTCCGTGTGAAGTATAACAATGCTGCGTTAATAACACAGGATGTCCTAGATCTGCATATATTCATGTTCCTGTGTTGGTACAGAGTCCATTGAAGTCGTCTCCACTGCGGCCCGTCATCACTCGACAGCCGTGTGCCGTGGCTGCAAAGTACTCCCTGGACAATTTACTGAAGACCCACTCGAAGAAGGTCAGTGCAGACCTGCTTAATGTGTCACGCATCATGTCCAAAGCACAACGCTTTGCCTGCTAGGGTCACAGACCACCCGTTCCAGTGGTTCTGTATGGAATTGGTCTGTGTACCGAATATGTCCGTTGCCCAACCATTCTAGCCTATTGATGCAGTGATGAGTGACATGATGAGTCCCATCCTAATAACTTATTGACTAGCTTGCTCTGTTCACTACACACTCAATCAACCTTAGCACTTCATAAACACTCCGACACGATCACCATCAGGTGAAACACGTCAACCAGCAGCAGGCGCGACATTTCCATTGCTAGCACTCTGGTTGCAATAATTGTTAGTGTGATTTCGGCGCGCAGTTGGCAGACTGTTGACTTAGCATCTCCCGTGTATATGAATTTGAATGCGTAGCTGTGAGTTTCGACTTACAACACAATTCTCTATTGCAGAGTCAGAGGTGTAGTGATATATCTTGGCCCCACTGCTGCAGAGGTGCTAATATTGTTGCAGTTAACACCGGCCGGATTGGTGGCATGACTGGGCTTGTCTTGTAGCTTTGCCTGCTCGTGTTGCTGGTGCCACTAAATGATACTGTCTTTGGAGGCTGGTTGTGACATGCAGCGGTGGTGCTACGCTTTCCACCCAAGTGCGAGCTCACACTGCTCTGCCGTTATGTTCATACTTCCAGCAGCCAAAGTCACTTTAAATCTCTGAGCAGTGCCTGTGAGAAAGTTTATTCGTTCAGTCCCTGGCGAGTTCTGTTCCACATTTTGTACTGTCTTGTCTGTATTAGTAACTGTTGCTTTTTGGTCTGTTGTTTACAGAAAGAGATGAAGGCAATTGATGAGGACTTGCGGGTAAGGGGATTTGGAAGGCCCTTGTGAGTTTGCCTGGAGTATGTCCTTCAAGGACACTTGCTTGTCAGTGGAGAACCCTCCAAACAAGCTACCTATCTAGTATCTGCCATGATGTATACGTTTGGCTGTGTGCTGTGTCTAGTGACTAGTGGCATAGTGCTCTTCAGTTGATAATGCATTATGGCTGACTTGAATTCGCCAACATGCAAACTACCGAGTGTCCTGATGTCCTGGTGTTATTCGCTGCAGGAGCAAATCGAGCATGGAGGCCTCTTAGCAATGTCTGAAAAAGCTGAAGGTATGTATTGGTTGACCTTCTCCTTGATACATGTACTGCCTTACTGCACTGTGATGCTACCGTATTTCCCCGTAAGTTGGTTCTCCCCAATGACTTAGTACCCCCCTATAAAAAATACACTTTCCACTGCCGATGTTATCACCCCGAAAGACAGTTCCCCCGAAAGATAGTAAGTTCGTACCCGTCCTACATGTACAGACACCGTACAGTACATACATCATATGCACGGACACTAGAGTTGCGCAGGCTTCCCACTGCGTGTCATTTACCCCCGATAAAAAAGTACTCCCCGAAAGATAGTACCACCACCGGAAGTTAGTACTCATGTGGCTGCTAAGTTCGAAAGTTAGTACATACTAACTTACTTACGGGGAAATACGGTAGTTTTAGCAAGAGTGTGTACCCCCTGTTATGTTACAGATCTGCGGATCTGATTGTGAATCATAATATTGGGGTTGTTCCAGCGGTCTTGTGTGCATTGCTACACACAGTATACTGTATGTGTGGCACATATACATGTATTCTCACCATGGCTGTTTGAATACCACTTGCTTTGTGCGTTTGCTTCCGTGCCTCAATGTTGTCCATGGCACAGATATGGATGCTGATGTACCTGATGAGCTTGGCCTGATGAAGACTGCTGTGGAAGATGTGAGTATATTATACCGCACAGCTGATATCTGCCTTGTTTTCATTGCCAGACACACATTCTCGTGTTGTTTTGTCTCAGGTTGTCCAGGCTTGTCTGATTTTTTTACAAATAATATTGATTGACTTTTTTCAGCTAGTGTGTGTGTGTGTGTGCGTGTGTGTGTGTGTGTGTGTGTGTGTGTGTGTGTGTGTGTGTGTGCGTGTGTGCGTGCGTGTGTGGTTTCCAATTAACGTGCTATTGAAGTGCGCCCACTCTACTACTAGTAATTCTCTTGTCTTCTCTCTGGCTACATGCAGCTTATCACGGACTCGAGTGCGCTGGTGCCTGATTTCCCGCCGTGCGAAGAAATCTTCATGAGAGGTCACAAGGTAAGGTGTAGGTGTACAGTGTAGTCCATGTGTATTTCTCTCCTTGCGGCGTATTCAAACAGCCCGTGGTAATGCTGTGAGGGTGAACACCTGCCATGCAAGGATAGACAGAGAGACTAGTTCAGTGATGTGATTTTCTGTGCTATGTTTCTGCATCGGTGTTGTGACCTGCACGCCATCATGGCAAATACCCCGGAGATATGGAAAGTTCGGAAACACACCGTTCTTATTATGTCCGACAACCTAGGGCGAGTGAGAGCACAACAGCACACGCACTGTTGGGGCAGCTGTCTTACTTGAACCTGTGTTTAAACGAGGACCGACCCAGTGTACACATTTTGGCGCCCTCAATTTGCATGGCCCTTGACGCGTTGATGCCCTCGAAGTGGCACGAATGCGGCTGTACGTACACATGTACGAATACGATGATGTAGTCATAACTGGTACAGGGTGCCAGTTTTTCACTTTGGGTTGTATTTCACCAAGCGCATTTGTACTAACCACTACTTTGTACTCGCAAGAGAAGTTTAGATTTTGCTGCGACGGAATCCCATGCGAATACGATGTGCGCTTCTGCACTCTGGGAGTTATGACTGCAGCACTCTTGAGGGCTACCTGCTGGTTTGGTACACGGTCTGATTTGCACAAGCCTTACCTGTGCAGCTGTGTGTACTGCTCTCTGCAGATTGCTGGTGTTCCCAACTTGTCGTATCCCAATGACTATGAGCCGAACGAATTTGAAAAGCTTGTTCAGGCATTGAACAACAGTGAGTGCTTTTGATTACTACTGCTGCTGCTGCTGCTGTAACATTACATTTTATTATAACGAGTCGCGAATTTAACGATTGTCCAAAATTTATAGGTTAACGAGAAGATATGTTAACGATCTTGCAGTATTTTGCCATATCCACACACAACATATATGAAGCAGTACGGCCTAAACAGAACTTATTTTAACGAAGAAATGTCATCCGTTAAAACGTTAGATTTACTTCCTCGTTATATATACATGTCTTACAGTACTGTATGTTGGTTGTCTGGATGTGTGTGTGTGTGTGTGTGTGTGTATGTGTGTGTGTGTGTGTGTGTGTGTGTGTATGTGTGTAACTGATGTGGAATTTGACTTGCAGTAGTCTGGGTTCTTTTCTCAAGTCAGTCTTTTGCATGTGTTTGCATGAGTGTGTGCGTGTGTGTCAAGAAGAGGAAAAATTAAAGAATTAAAAACAGGCCAGAAAAGGCCCCTTCAATCAGCTGTGTGTTGGAGATCAAAATTAATGAATGGTATAGTCCCATCACATGTTGCTATGTTTAATGTAGCTTGTTCGCTATCTTCGCTATCATCGCTTCAACCAACGATGGGCATGTGTGTATGCGCGTGCTTGCGTGTGTGTGTGCGTGTGCGTGCATGCAAGTGTGTACTATTTTTGCATACCATTATCTGTGGCATCACTACACACACACAGGTCATACTTTCTTCCATGGTGTTTGTTTTCTACTGCTGTGTGCAGATGGTGCTGTATCAGATCAGCTAGTTTCGCTTGATATGTTCAAGTTAGCATATGCCTCACGGCCATGCGGACGTGAAATCTTCGTCTGGCTCTTTCGCACAGGTGAGTAGAGTCAGTCGAATGTACATCCAGTTCATGCTGAGCCAATCACATCCTAGCAAGGGTACATAAACCAGAGTGTGCAGCTCCGCATCTATGCTGCACAAAACCGATCCCACAGCGAAGTATTTTTAGGTCATCATGAATCATAGAAACCTCGTCATGCCGTGGGTTGAGTGTTCAAACACCGTATCTCTAAGATTACGGGAAATTTACATGCGTTTTTCACGACAAGCAGCAATGCGCAATAGAAATTACCTTGGTGATTGATACCTCTGATACTGTAAAATGACCATGTGAACCTTGTGAGATGGAGCACTATGACCTGAACAAAAAGTTTCGCCGTGGGACGATTTTCCCGGAGCTGCACACTCTGGTTTGTGTAGTCTTGATTATATGAGCCAGGGACTACAGAAACCACCCTATGGCACTTTTTGGCGAAAAAAATTTTTTCTCTCAAAATGTTGGTATGGTATGGTTATGTGCTCAAACAAAGTGTCAAGTTGATCTGCGGTGGTAAAATGTGCCTAACCACCTATTTAATATTGGCATATCAATTGAGCGATATAGAGCGAATTTATGTACACAGTTTGTAATGTTCTTTGTATATCTTCATTCTTGCTAGTTAGACAGTTCAAATGTATAGTGAACTATGCCCTCAGCTTCATCCAGTGACGCCTGCGCGCCGTCCACTAAATCTCGGTAGTACTGCCGCTCCTCTTGTGCTAGTGATATGTGCAAACGCAGGGCCTGGACACTACATTCCATCTCTTCCTCTGTACGGGCGACACGAATTTTGTCCCACAGATTGTCACACAGTGCGCATACGTCTGTCCTTGGCTTCATCACTTTGATGTGTGCTGCCTGTCTCCTCCAAATGTGGCAAAATGACCTGTAATGAACAGGCGAATACTGTGTGACGGTCTTGGTATAGATGTTGTATGCAGACTTCTTGTTCTCGGATGCTGGTAAGTATACTTGAGGGTCCTCAGCACGACCTCGCTCCGCTGCAGGTTGAGGTAGACCGTACATGTTAGCATATGACTAAATAAACTGCACGACATCCTGCTCTATGTCTGCTGAAATGGCCAAGTGCTCTGGTGTTCTCCCAGTCAAGCCATCGTGTGCCAGTTGAACGACTCCTTTGTTTGCCTTTTTTTGAAGGCGCTTCATTACATGACTTCCACCAGCATTAACTGCCATGAACACGTCTTTGCACAACTCGTAACCACGTACATGATAGCGGAAATAGAAAGGTCGATCACCACCACCAGTCATCGGCGTGTGTATGTCTGCGTGTGTATGTCTGCGTGTGGCCGTGCTGCTGTCTTGTACGTGCGCAGCGGTTGTTCATCCTGACATGTGCATGGCGGACAAGGCACGCGAGCAAGTCTGCTTGCTCATCAAGAAGTGGGGCGATAAGGTCAGCTGCGTGTGTCTTGTTCTGTACATTACATGTACATGTACATGTAATGTAGCTATGCTGGCACGCTGGGTTTTGTTCTGTTTGCTTTTGTGTGTGTGTGTGTGTGTGTGTGTGTGTGTGTGTGTGTGTGTGTGTGTGTGCGTGTGCGTGCGTGCGTGCGTGCGTGCGTGTGTGTAGTCGCTACTACAGTGTAGAGCACAGAATGGTAATGTAGTCATTAGGATATGTGAAAAATACCAGAAGAAAGTGTCTGCTACGAACGTCAGGGCTCGCGCTTCCTGCCGACTGCCGTCACTTGACTGACTCACGACTGCGCTGGAGCACACAAGAAGCCCGTCTAACCTTCCACTCGGCGAACCTGCAAGAAAGCACCACTCCCTGCTCGATACACAGTGTTTCGGGGAACCCACCCCTCATCAGTTGAGCTTGAGTAGGCTAATGAAATTTCTGCTCCTAGGGCACTGCATTCTGTAGCGCTCTCCAGTAGTACTCTCGTAGAACCTTTCCAGCAGCGTTACTTTTTGAACAATGTTCGATTCATTGTATGATTTTGACAGTGCTGTGTGTTTTGTGCTGTGTGATTCAGGAATCAGTGTGTCTGCTGCATGTGGATGACGTCGTGTGGATGATGAAAGCATACGGTACGGTCTCTCAGGGCTGCTAGATCAAGATTTCTCTTTCCTTTTTTGATCTGCATTGTTTGCTGTGCCTGGCAGGTAGCCCTAAGCCTAGCAAAGCACGCACGCACACACACACGCACACACGCACATGCGCCCATGAACACCACTAGAGCACAGGTAGACTTCTCAGTTGTACACGTGGGACCTTGCAAGGCAGCATTGATTTTGCTTGACCATCATGCTGTTGCTATTGATTAGAATGATACCTAGGATGCACCATAGCTATCTATGTGTGCATGTTTGCGAGGCCTGTCAGCTGAGTTTCTGTTTGTACTTCTTTTCCGTATAACGGTGTCTGGTGATGTGACGTGTATTTTCTCTTTTATCTTTGCTGCCATGCAGGAGCTACGTGTGATGTTGTGGCGGCAGAAGGAGCTGACAATATGCACAGGTACTAGCTAGGTGTGTTGTAGGAACTGGTGTTTTAAAATATCCAACGCCATGCTTCGATTTGTGCCTCGTGTAAATGGTAACAAGGCCAATGCTGCATTTCCAATCTGACATCAGGTTTGCATAGGTACAGCCTTATATTTTCGCTCAGTAGCGTCAGTTTTTCAATTGCCCAAATAGGTCGTTCCCAAAACACAATTTTCCTTGATAACACGAAATAACGCAAAATCCTAAAATTGATGAGAAATCGTCCATAACATCAGTTAGGACAGAAAATATGACATAAAAATGATAGACTGTTCGAGGTATTTACTAAGGCTGCGTTTACATGACAATGCACGGCCAGTTTTCCGTTTTCAGTCCCGCATTTCTTTTTTTGTTTTCGTACGTTTACACGATCAAAGCCGATCCAAGGTGGTCTCGGTTTGTATCGTTTTCAAGCGTCTACACGAGAGCAAAGGATCCGCCAAAGTTCGTCATGTGCCAAGTGTTGCCGTGGAAGCACCAATCACACTCAAGTAATGGTTGAAAACAGGCCACACGACAACACACGTCACATGACGAAAATTGTAAAAACAATTTTTGGATTGTCGGATCCGTGTGAACGGCCGAAAACGTAACAAACGTGACGGAAAACGAGTCCAGCCACCGTTTCGACTGTTTACACACCCAAATTTATCCGGCAGAACATTTCCGTTCTCAAATTCTTCCACCTTGGCCAGCGTTTTGGTTCTCTTCCGTTTTGGTGTACAACTTTTATGTTTTGCTCCGCGTACCGTGTAAATGAACCATGGATCCGAAAGGCATTTCGTTGCGTTTTCGCCCCCAGCGTTGTCGTGTAAACGCAGCCTAAGATGATATCAACACCAGCACATGTACAATTGGGATCCAGGTCGTCATTTCCTGGAGAAGAACAAAAAGACGCAAAAAATGAAACTTATTTTTTGCACCTTTTTTAGTTTGCCCCATATGTGAATACTTCGTAGAAGTGGGTTGAATCAGGTTTATTATTATTATATGCACGTACGCGTTGCTGGGGCCCCCATTGGATGGAGGTTGCCCAGGTTCGCATGTGCCAAACTGATTATGCCAACGCCTCATGACGAAAACATACAGAGAGAAACAAATCGTGGGGAAACGAAACAAGAACAGTATTCGTACAAGCAAAAAGGAAGCTCAGAAACGATAACAAACAAAAAAACAAAAAATCAACGAAGGAGAAATGGAACAGCAGACAGACTACATGAAATTGAAAACACAGAGCATGGACAGAGTCGAAGGGAGGACGTGAGAGGAGGGGACTAGGGGAAGGGTACACTTAGGTAGAACGAGGAGCGAACGGGAGGTGAACAAAAGAGAAACTGGAAAAAGAACCAGCATACACAGATGACAAATCACGAACGAAGAAGAAACAGAGAAACAAAACAGTGAGGACATGGCAAGCTGACCTGCGAGGAATTCGGTGATGGTGGGGGAGCTGGGTGGTGGTGGTCCAGACTCCTTGGCCTGCTCCACTGGCTCTGATGGAAAGTCAATCTTCAGCAACGATTCCAGGCTCTCCATGACAAATCCGCATCAGTGTTCACATCCACCCGCATCAAATCGCATCAGTGTTGTCCACCCGCGTCAAATCATCCGTGGAAGCCAGCCTGGAATGGAGCATGGACGCGCTGGAGCTAGCTGCAGTCCATCCCTCAGCGATGGTCTGCCAGTTTGATATAAAAACTGTCTCTCTCCGAAGAGAGAGGAAAAGCGTTACCTTCTCCAACCGAACAGAAGCAGGTTTACTACGGCGAAAATAGGGGTCACCTGGCATAGTTGAACTACAATATAGGTAGGGAATTTGCCGAAAACCCCTGGGTGTATGCTTTATCGATGGGTACTTTTTCTGCATGATTACTCTCCTGTTGGTACTTAGTTAAAATACACGTAGCTGTGATAGCGCTTAGAAACCACAGTCCCATATCAAACTACAATGAAAGCTGACAGGTTGGAACGAAGCAGACAATTAATCCTCTTGTTCTTCAAGTATGTATGCTAGAATGTGTCCACACTGGCTAGCACGATGGTATTTTATGGTGCGCACAAACAAGTGAAGCACTGTGCCACAGGGCATTGCTTACAGGTGGGTTGCTGTTAGTTCTTGGCTAGGTGTTCAACCACCGCTAGGATTATC